GTGATTTTCAACGTCTGTTATTATGCATGATAGATCAGATAAGGCTTTGTGATCCCTTGATCGTAGTTTTGGGGGTGCTTAAATTTGCTTTTACATTCATTTGGATAATGGAAAAATCAATAAACACACTTAATATATTGATTGTTTTATTTTTCTAACTATCTGTTTTCAAACAAAGTTGTTTTCAACATTTCTATATTATGCGATAGTCCTGAACGCATCTCTATCCAAACAGTCCCCCAACAATACTGCCTGGTAGCCCGACAATGGTAGAAACGAGTGCTAAGACGTCGTTTAGTAGTGCACTGATATTGTCAACTAAGCCTGGAGCAGCGGTTGTAGTTGTTTCGGTTGTGGTTGTTTCGCTTGGCATAGCAGTCTGGCAATAAATTTGATACAGACATGCAAACAATATTACCAAAGTTACTAGCCTTTGAGCCACCTAAATGATGGAATAAATACATTCCTCAATAAATATTACACAGAAAAAATAGTATTGAATTAACTCAATAAGTGGTTGTAGTACTTGACTTGGTTGTCTGGCAATAAATGTTATACAAACATGCAAACAATATTACAAAAGTGACTAGTTTTTTAGTTACTAGTTTACTAGTTTAGCCACCTAAATGAATGAATAAATACAATTATCTATAAATATTGCAAAGAAAAAATAGTATCAAATTAACTTAATAATTAAATTTAACTTTTTTGGCCCTCTGTTTTATATTGAAAGTGGCTTTACTTAAAAGGAATAACTTTAAAAGTTACTTCTCTCATAAGAATTTCAACACTTCAAAAAATATTAATTCTAATAAAACTTTACAAGTTAACTATTTTTACTGCGCGAGTTACAAGTTAACTATTAATAACTATTGCAAGTTAACTATTATTATATAGGGTATACAGTTTTAAGAGGTTTATACCCTCGCCATCTTGGATTTCAGTTAGAATTTTTAATTTATGCTTTCTTGATATTTTTTTTTGTATTTAACAAATCTTTGATGACATATAGCATTATTAGATGCTATATATGATGCTTTTCAAAAAGTATAAAGTAAAGAGATCACTTTTTCAGATTGGGAAAAACAGAGATTAACAATTTTTAGAACTTCAATGAATTTTTCCTCGACACTTTAAAGCAATAAAATGATGTGATGTTTTAAGTCAATCATTCAAAGCTGTACGTTTCTTAGTTTTAAGATTTTTTTCTTTCTGAAATTTAATTTTATTAAAATTTAAACTGATGAAAACCAATTTGGATGACGCTAAAAATACTTTTAACGTTTATTGCGTTAAAACAAAGATACTTATCAAAAATCTAAAAACATGAAACTATATAGTATTTAATTATCTATTAAAAACAGTTATTTTCTGAATTGTATTGGCATATTTTTCAGAAAAAATTTATAGAGAATCTAAATATTACACCCTTTTTTATCGCAATCTGTGACTAGGTGTCGGCTGTGTATTTCGCATGTATCGAAAGATACTGCTAAATATATCAAATAGACATCACCAGTTTATGCTTGAAAATTAGATAAAAAGGAGCATATTTAGAAAGCATGTTTTGAATTTTCCTTCCCCTCTCCACCCCTTCATCATTTCAGTTCTCTCTTGTTTTTTTTTTTAAAAAAAACATGCTAATTAGATATTTATAAAAAGACATTTGCATTATGCGTAGCAATTTAAAAAAAAACTTGTATTTTATTGTTTTGAAAATATGTTTCCAAAAATGGTATTTTAATGACATAAAGAATTTATTCATCAAAATTCAAATTTGAACAGTATCTGTAGAGAGAATTTTCTTACATGCCTAAACCTACAGTTTAGAGTAAACGCCACTTAAAAGAATGGATAAGGATTTTAATGTGATTGAAATGTGTTTTGAAAAATATTAAAATACTTAGATTGCAGACAGAATATAGGAAAAAGCTGTTTTAGAAACAATACTATCTGATATTTATTATGAAAGAAATATGAAAGAAGCTTTGTTTTTACTGAAAAAAGTGAAACCTAAACTGATTTAAGAAGGTATATAAATAAATAAAAATATCAAATAAAATATAGATAGTAATAAACAATATTTTAACATATTTTGAAATCTAGGGATAAAAATTACCCTACTTAAGTATTATTTAGCATACTAATTTAACTAATAAAAAAATTTTCATTTTAAAAATAAAATTCTCAAATTCTCGGACAAAGTATATCGTCGCTGTATCTAATAAGTGTTGTCAATAGACTTGATAATTTTTTCTTTGAAAACCTTTTCAACTAAATTAGGAAGTAATATTTCAAATGAGCAAAAAAGATCACCCTGAATAACTTTTGATCTAATGTTGAGATCTTCACCTTCTAGGACTCAATCTTGATGGTTTGAAGAGGTGACCTCAAATATTCTAAATTAATTAGTGCAGACAATATTTTAAGTTATGATATCAGACACAAAAACGTACTCCCTCTAATTAAACATACCTTATTCGACAGATTCCGATTTATGATTTCCAAAATATAGGGGGTAGCCGCAATCTGGGAAATGTGGTTCCCATAGAAGAGTGATACAAAATTAGGACACTTTCAAATATGTTTTTAACCAATATTACTCATTGTAACATATTAGAAAATATCCCAATTGTTTTTTATGACATTTTTATTTACTATGCAATTAATTAACACGGCGAAAAAAATATGGTTAAAAGTGCCTTGGTATACTGGTATAATTTATTGAGTTTCGAGCTCTATGTAAAATTTGGTTAATATGGCAAATTTAATAATTTTAACATGCTACCTTAGGGTATGGCATAAAAACCATTTATTTGGTTAAATTTATCTTTCCGCTTTTCATTTTTCACAAAATGTGCGATAATAAGAGCTATAATTTTGAAAACCAGGATTTCTGGGAACCCGTTACCATACGAATGGTAAAATAATCAAAAGAATGAATTAAACATCGTATATTTTGGTTTTATTTTTAAACAGAAATGTGATTAACATCCAGTACGGTAGTTTTATTATAATTTTTTACTAATATTTTTTTTAATGCGAAGATTTCATCCTCATAACTTAATTCATAAGTGCATTTGATTTATATCGCTTTAAAAAATTAGTTTTGCTTCGTTTATCAGTAATTAATTAACTACTGGATATTTCTTAAAAAAATTCAAAACAAATTCTATTATTTTTGATAGAAGTTTTATTTTTTATACAAAAATATTAGATTGTACTATTCGTAAAATGTTAAAAATTGTTACTTTGATACGTATAGTACATTATCGATACTGTTATACTGCATATGTATTAATGCATAGCTTTGAAAAGTTTCAGATAAAACATTTGAACATTACATACTTTTGAACATAGCTTTTTTTTATATAAATGGTTTAAACATATTTAATAAAACAAACTGGAAAAATAGTATTAGTATTTGTCTTATTAAAAAATTTAAACAATGAATTGAGCTTAAAGTAATTGAATCTTCATCCGAAATATAATTTTTAAGAAAATTAATAAGATTATGATGTTCTATTTTCAATTTTTATGGTTTAGTTCGAAAAAAAAATCTTTTTTTAAATTTAACATAAGTCTTTTAACAGCATAAAAGAAGAATAAAAATATTGAAATTCAATATATTAAAAGGAATTTTAAATTAAACTGTACTTTTGTTATAAAATATATTAAGTGTACTTTACGTAAGTCATCTCTTCTTAGTTATTACAATATGGTTTTGTAAATGAAAATGAAAATGGTTTAACAAAACAAAAAGTTTATATACCAAGCTTAAAAATCAATTCGAATTTAATATTTTTTGAAATAGAACGGCAAGAAAAAGAATAATTTTGGCATTTATTTGAAGAAATCAACAACGAGTTCCTAAAATAATTTAATGAATATTCCTATTTTAAATATTAATACATCTGCGCTATAAAAATTCCTCTGTGCCGTTTGTCCGATAATTATTATGAAATCATTAACATGTTCAATATTTTTTTGCTGAATCACACAACTATGATAATAAGTTAGTTTTATTTTTAATAAAACAAAACTTTCAATATTCATTTATGGAACAACAGAAAATTTTGATTTCAGAAGCAATTTTTTTACAAAAATTAATAAAAAAATTATTATTTAAAAAAAAGGCATTTTTGAGATGTAAAAAAGGTAAAATGCTATTGCTTTAATTTAGTGTTTTATTTGCTTATCTCTCTAGTTCACTTGCAATTCAAAGACAATTTACATTGGAATATTTTCGAAATAGATAAACATTAAAATTACATTTTGTTTTTACTTAAACCAGCTTAAAATCGAAATTAACGTACAAAAAGGTTTTTACTAGATTATTGAATTTTGAAATAGCTTAAGATTTGTTTATTCATTGAAAATTTATATCAAACATAAAATCACTTAGCAGAAAATAAGTTTCAATAATTAAGATATTTTTGAGATAAACAAAAATAATTTTGAATTTTTAAAAAAATTTAAAACATTGAATTTATTCTTAAGTAAAGTTCGATAAGAGAGCATGATAAAAGTCTCTACTTCGTTTATAAATGGAAATATTGGTTTTATTTTAATATTTAGAATATTGAATAAATTTATTAAGATTACTTTGTTGTTGAAAATTTCGATATTAAAAGAAAGTGATAAGCTTTGAGTTTTAAAACGATTCTAAATTTTATTTAAAATTTAAAATTTTATTTAAATTTTATTTATTTTTAAGGAATTTTAAAGCTTTCTTAATCTACACGTTATCAGAGCATAGCAAAAAGCAATATAAAGGATAAAATTCACAATTTACTGTTTTCTATTTTGATATAAAAAATGTTCAATAATGATTCTGAAAAGTTTGATATTGAACACGAAAATATATATTTTTGTGATTTTTATTTTAGTGATTTTTGCATCTATAAAAAGCATTTTAAAAGTTTTTAAAAGCAAAAGGAAACTACTCATCAACAAAAGACACTAAAAAAAGCATTGTGCATGATAATGTATCTACTTACCATGATGAATGATAATAAAAATATATATTTGGATATCGAGAAACTACGTTAGCGATAACTAATATGTGTTGGAGATCTTGGCTTTTAAAATGCTTTATTGCATTGTCATACTCATACAAAATTTGCTGCTTGTTGTTTTAAATTGATAAGGAAAGAAAAGTAACCGTAATTGCCGAAATTAGAGAAAAATTTAGCCAAAATTCGAAGTCACTATTTTAAAATATTCAAATATAGTAGACACGTATTTTTTGCGCAATGATGCACCATATTAGTTTCATGAAAAAGTCATTAAAATTGATCTAATCAAAAATCAATTTTTTATCTCCTTTCAAAAACTATGTGTTATGCATGTCAAATGATGTTTATTGTGCATGTCATTAAAGCAATAATTTTTTAAAAAAGTTATGTAATTTTGAAGATGATTAGTGTTTTTTTCCTTCTCTTAAGGACAAAAGAAGAAGAGACTTGGAGAAAAAGAAAGACACGTTTTTAGAAGATCATGCTTTTAATGTTTGAAACAAAATAATGTGCTAGTATTTATTTTATTTTACTAATTCCTTCCCCTGCAATGTTGGCTGATTGATTTTTAAAAAGGACTTTAAATATTTTTCAAACGGATATGCTTTTAATTTTTGAAATAACATTGAATGCTGCTTATTACTCTTATTTTATTATAATAAATGGCAGAGGATAATTTCTTTTCCTTCAAAGTTGGTACACTGTAAAAAATTTCGAGCTATGTTGCTCCAAACATTGGTATTTATTTGCTGGCTACATAAAATGGTATTCAGTTTTATTATGCTTTCACTAGCTCCAAACAACGAGAGAAGGTTGCACCAAAAATGGGTATTTTGAAAGAATCTTAAAGCAGCGAAGGGATGCACCAAAAATAAATGTTTTGAAGAGAACTAAAAGTGGAAGAAGGTTGCACCCTGATTTGGTATTTTTTAAGGGAACTAAAAGCGAGGAAGGTTGCACCATTATTAGGTATTTTTAAAGTGCTAAAAACAGGGTAAAGTTGCACCATTATTAAGTATTTTTTAAGCGCAAAAAAGCAGAGAAAGTTAGCATCATTATTTATTATTTGTAAGAAAAAGGAGAAGATAATTTAACTCAAATTCATATAAATCAAATTATAATTTAATTATTTAAATCTATAAAAAATTAAAAAAACTATTTTTATTTTAGATGTGTTATGAAATATATATATATGTAATTAAAAATAGTTTTTTTAATTTTTATAGATTTAAATAATTAAATTATAATTTGATTTATATGAATTTGACTTAAATTATCTTCTCTTTTTTTTATAAATATTTAATAATGATGCTAAATTTCTGTGCTATTTGGCTCTTTAAAAATATTTTCCTTCATATAAAATTTCTTCCTTCTTAAAGTTGATATTTATAAAATTACAATTCTTTTTTACATTTCATTCGTCAAAGAACCAACAGATGCTATAAAGTTAATACCACTAATGTTTTAAAGAGAATTTTAGGCTGAAACAAATACTTATTACTGTGTATTTTTAAATACTTTTATTATTTAAAACTGAAAATATTACTTTCACAAATAAAAATTTATTTAAAAGTGTAGTCAAATATTAGATTAGTAAAGCCCCAATCTCTAATTAAGGGAACATTCCAATATTAATTACATTGGCTTATGAAAATAATAAATTTGAAGTAAATTAAGAAATGTAAGAAGAATGACATAATTTGGAAATATTAACAAAAAATATACAGATCCAGATCAATATTCAAACATAATTTATTTATTTACAATCACTTGATGTTTGTATACATAGTCAGAATGTAATAATTTTTATGCAAATTTATATATACTATACTTTTTATACATATCACAACATTCATTGAAAAAAATACTAAATATTCACTCAAAAATATGATAGATAGTTAAGATATGATAGATAGATAGTTTTTGTTACTAAGAGAGAATCACTATCACTATTGTCACTATTTGAATTGAATGCAGTAGTGCATTCAATTAATTTTTAATTTACATGCAATTTTACATACAATTTTTAATACATTACAATTAATTAATAATTTATTAATTTCAATTCAAATTAATTTTTAATTCACAGTAATTTAAAATAAAAATTATGTTAGCATATGCCTCACTGTTCATAGTTTTGAAATTTGAGATCATTTGAAAATAATTCTCCATATTTTATTAAGATATTAAATTTCTTCATTTGAATTAAAATTTACAATATAACTAAAATACTTTTTTACGAACATAATTTACTACCTGATGGGAAAGATCAAAATTTCACTCTGTTACGAAAAAAATACTGTCATTTTTTAACAAATTAATAAATGGTGGTGAGTATTTGAGAAAAAGCAATATTTTCATTATATATTCATTACTATATTATTATTATATTCATTATTATATTCATTATTATATTCATTATTATATTCATTATTATATTCATTATTACATTCATTATTATATATTCATTATATATTCACTATTATAGATTTTCTGGTGCTATTACTTTAACTACATCACATTTTTTGATTGATAATCCTTTATAAAAATGATACAACAAGATTTAAAAAGATTACAAACAAATAAAACTTTGCAGTCTTTTCACAAAATAATAGTTTCGCCAAACACAGGTTCTTCATTCTTAAAACTTGAAACTATAAACATTTCTTGTTTGCAAGCTGTTCTTGAATCTAATACTTTTGAAGTTTGAAAAAAACTGTTTATAACCTTCTAGAATTCTGGTAATTTCGACAGAATAAATATTTTTATCAATAAGTTTGACTCTGGTTATAATAATATTTTTTCCTAGCCTCTTTCTTGACTGAAAGCATTGAAGTAGTTGGTGCCTTTGTGCTAATGAAAGGAGATAATAAATTCTGTAATTTATGCTAATAAAATGTATAAGAATTGAAATAACATAAAATTTTAATCCTTACATGTTTTTAAAACATAGGAAGATCAATCAAAGCAAGTAATATTTAAATTGTTATTTTTTAAAATACAATATTAAAAAAAAAAATTGTGAAATTGTTGTTCTTATTTTAAAAAAAATGTTAAAACATTTCACCATCTGAAAAATATTTAGAGACCAACTATTTATTCGGGTGGGGGGGATATTTTTATCTTAAGCCTCCTTTCATCCACAAAAATTCTGGAAAGGAAAAGAAGGATCTGATAGTTAAAATATTATTATTATTATTTTTTATTTATTTATTTATTTTTGCTGATAAAATGTGCCTAAGCACTTAAGTAGAATTTCTCCTCATGAGAAATTGTGAATTGAATTTTATGAAGGGCGACCCCTCAAAAAATTGCAGAAGGAACTGCCAACTGTTACAATATATTAAAGAACAACATCATATTCACTAGGATTAACCAAATAGTTTGTGTTGAGTCTAAGAGGGCGGGATATGGACGCTGATAAACACACAAGCAGTATTCATATGGATGGTATTAAGACTCCACATGTATACTGTTTGTGAGGATTATCTTTTTTACTAAATTTCTTTAGCTAAATAGAAGCAGATATATTTCACAATAAAAAAATTACTTTTATAAAAGTTATTATTTTTTGTAAAGAAAGCTGTAAATACTATAAAGAATACATATGAGCTTTTTCATGACCAATGAAAACATTCGAATTCATGCTTTTGTTGGCCCCTCTCCCCCCCCCCAAAAAAAAAATACTAATGTGGGCTAAAGTAACATAAATCTACAAAAAACATGGCATAGAAAAATAATTATCGAAAGCAAAGTATGATGAACATCTAAGTATCTTCTTTTATTTAGATTTAATAAAAAAAATATTTATTAACTTTTTAAATCTGACATTTTGTTTCATTTAAAATTTGTTTCCCTTAGTTAATTATTAAGAAGAAAATTTGATTTTTTAAAAAAGCATAATAAGAAATAATTTTATTTCTAAATGCTATAAAAAAATCTTATTCTTGTCGGTATTTTGTTCAAAATTTCAGTAAGATTCTTGGCGAATAAAAAAATATAGCGCTTTGTTTTCTTTAGCGCCAGTATTTGCCACTTCTTTTCCTACCTTGTGCACCCAACTAACTTAAAGAAACCCAGTTTCCATGACAACGGCTTGAGGTGAAACGGAGTATAATTCGATTTGAAAATTTTACTACAAAAGCATTTAAGAATGCATAGACAAACATTCGTGTAATTATGTGACATTACAAACGAAAATGAGCAATATAGAACAAGAATATCAAAATAGAAGCACAAATATTGCTAAAAAGTTTTAATCCTAACAGAAAGTACTTACTATTATTATTATTATTTTTGCTCGGTAGAATGCAATTAAAACACGGACCTAGAAAATTTTCACCGGCAGTAAATTTAGCGGAAAACCGTTTATTTGTCACTGGAATTGCACTTACTGTGCGCATAAAATGCAGGTATATCCTTATTCACATCATACCACTTTAAACAACCAAAGCTAGAATTCCTCACAGCCTTGGAGAGATCTATCTATGAGAATCCAAAGTTAAAACGTCCCGCAGTGGACTGATCGTTAAGACACGGTTCTCATCAGATCACCGAAGTCAAGCATCACTGGCTGCGGTCAGTGTGCGGGTGGGTGACCCACTTGGATCAGTCTGCGTAGGGACCGAGGGTGTGCGGTATTGGTCCTCGTTAAACTGTGCTACCGTAAAGTGCTCGACTTCGCGCGCAGGTCGTCGGGCTACCGAAGCGGGGGTGCCATCCCCTCCGCAGAGGATCAAAATTGTGATGGCATGTCTTCGGATCATCCTCCGGGATGTTTCCCAGACCGTCACCAATAGCCCATTGTGCAGCTCTAGTGCGACGTAAATTAACAACAACAACAACAACCAAAGTTAAAACGGAAGGCAACCAACCTGATTAATTTTCTAGAAGAATATGAGGAAATCTTGAAATAATATTCACGAAAAAATTTTGAAAAAATATGCAATGTTGTGCACCAACCACTACTAAACTTGACCAATTAGCTCTGAATACTTTTTAATCGAATGCCCTAACTAATAGAAAAATCGTTTCTTTTTTCATTTTTTCAATTTTTGTATTTTTCTTTTTTTAATTTCATATTTCTTTTTATTTTCTTCTCTGTTTTTGCTTCTATTAGCTATTTTCTTTTTCTTTTTTCTATCTGTCTTGTCTTCCAACCTTAACCATTAACTGATAAATGCCCCTTAGGTGCGGGGTTAAATGTTGGTGTGTGTGTGATACATCGTGATAAAGATTCCATTCACTTAAAAGTTTTTAAAATATAATGAAATAACAAAAAAGTTAAATAAGAATGAACGATCTCTTGACTAAGCCATTGAGACTACATTTCCTAAATTTTATTGCTATACCGTTGAAATTAGAAATTAGCAAGTCATGATGCGTGATTCTGGGGTCCACTATACAAAGCTTCTTAACTCTATCTGGATTAGGTTGTACAACTATGGTGGCTAGAACATCCTACTACGAGACTGGAGGTTATTGGTTCGAATCCTGCCGACAGCCAACGAACATCGCTCTCACGCCTTCCTTTCTCTACGTTATTTTTGAGACTATTCACCTTTCACAAAAAAGAATATATGCTGTTTCAATTTTGAATACATGGGGTTTTCAAATTCGACTATTATTTGTTTCGGAGTATTTTGCTCAATTTTAAGAAACCCCTTTTTTTACAGAGCACTTTTGAAATATAGGAGAGCCCCTGCAATATCAAAAAGGAAATTTTATCTCGTAATCCTTTTTTATTCAGTCTCAGTAATGACTAAATGGGAAAAAAAAGCGCGGAGGTAAGTGGGGTAAGATCTGGTAGCTTGAGATTCGAAGGCTTGTTGAAGATATACTGTTTGACCTAAAAACTGTCAGAATTTAGTTCAAATATTGATTGTTTAGTTGTGTACAATGTATCATTCCTTAAAATTCATGGATGTACCAGATGCTTTTTTAAAAAGGATTTTTTTTCAAGAAAAAGTATGATCCGGTCTTACCCCACTTGGTAAGACCAGGATAAGTAAGGATGGGGTAAGACCCGGACTTACCACATTAATGGGGTAAGTAAGACCAGGTGCGCTATGAGAAATTTAGAAATACTTGAATTTTAATTATTAAACAGTAGACATTTTTATTTTATATGACATTTTAAGACAGTTGTGCGTGTAATTTACATGTGATGCTGTTATCGTCTTTTTTCTGTGCCCTGCAGCTTTCGTAGGCCCAGTATAGCCACATATAATTCCCTGAAACCAAGATGACTAATCAAAACGAATATGATCGTTAAAGCTGTGGGAAATAACTTTACGAATAAGAAAACATAAAAAAATTATCAATATATATTTCATTATTTTAACCATAAAAAAATTATCAATATATATTTCATTAACATTGCAAATAAAATCAATAAAGTCTATAACATTTACTTTATGAGCATACACTCTTAAAAATTCGGTAGAACGTTGAAACACAATACCTTGAAATTTTGCTACCTGAAAATACCATTTGAAGCAGAATTTTTATTAAACAGAATTTTTATATTTTATTTCATTATTTTCTATTAATTTCGATCAAAATAAGTGAAAGATATTATATTTAGCAATTTAATAATTTTAGGTTATGAAATACAGCAAGAAAGTTAGGTGTTTTTTTTTCTAAGTTAAAGGCAAAAGTTTCTAAACATGACTAACTTCCAAGCTACAATTTTTCAAATTTACACTTATTTGTAGTTATTTAAATACAAGGAAAACAGCTAGTCATCATTAAAATTTCTTTTAATTTACAAAATCCTTAATTTTCAAAATCTTTAATTTGCATAATCTTTAATTTACAAAATTTAATTTATTGATAAATGTTAATGATGAATTTATATTACAGTACGATTACAATTGCAATAAATTTTCAGTTGCTTAATAACTATTAGAGTGTTTCTTATAATTTAACTATACCAAAATAGATTTTTACTTAAAATTAGAGCGTCAGAAAATATATATAAAAATATATAAATAATATATAAAATATATAAATAATGTATAAAAATATGTAAATAATATATAAAAATATATAAATAATATATAAAAATATATAAATAATATATAATAATGTCCCTTCTGTGTCGCAGGATTAATAAAGTGTTAATTTGAACAATATTAATGTTCAAGTTAACCAATAGCATCGCGCAATAAAGTTTACGAATTACCATAGTATGGCTCAACTTAGCTCACTATCAAGGTTGTGACTAAACAATATTATGGCTCAACATAAGGTTGTCCATAAGAACCGAGATTTTTATTTTCAAAATGCGATCGGATGGAAAAGATGCCTTACATAAAAAGAAGATACAATGAATTTTAAGTCTTCCAGTCGCGAACCGTACTAAAAATATATGAAAAAAATTACGACATGGTAAAATTTTTCAAATTTTTTAATACTACTTAAAACAGTATAATCAATATTTTACAGTTTCTTATTCTTAGTTTTGTATAGAAAGAAAAAATAAGTTTAAATATCTTTATTAATTCAATGCATATTGATCCTACGATGCATTAAAAAAAAACAAGATTCAACTTAATTTTTTTTCTAAATTTTTCACCATTTATTGTCATGGCTAAAAGCTGCCTTATCAGATTAACTCTAGGTTTGGGTTGGATTTTTTTTTTTAGTTAATGGCGGGCACATGGGTCTATTTCCCACTGGCCTCAGAAATGCCAGAATCGCTACTCTCATATCGTTACCTAGTGAGCACATATGGTTAGTGAGCACCTATAGCGTAGCCCACGTCATATAACCACAAACCCGTTTGTAGGGCGGGTTTCATTCACACAGTCACACAGCAGAAAGGACATAGAACAGAGAGAGAGAGAAACATCTATGCCCTGAGCGGGATTCGAACCCGCAACCATCGGCTCCTCAGTCAGGCAGGCTAACAACTCGGCCACCTGGTCAGCGAGGTCAGATTATAAATAGTGCGTTTAGTTTCACGCTTGTATGTCTGGGCTTCTATAGTTTGCAAAAAAAATAATCACTGGAAGCAAAAGCATGTTTATTACACAATTTTAAGTATTACAAAAAAATTTCAGAAAATTGTAAAATTTTTTCAGTTTTCATAAAGTTTGAGTGCGATGCTCGACCGGAAGATATTAACTCATTTTAACTTTTTTTACATCAATTTACTTCTTTTTATATAGAGCATATTTTCATACTGCAGCGTTTTGCACAGCGTGCACTACTCAACATGCTTAACAGTTTTTTTGAAGCGTGACCTCTATTTGTTGAATGTAAACCAATAATGCTGTCATTAAATTCTGTTCTTTAGAGCAGTGAAGAAGTGGAGATCAGAGATTTTAACTAAGTGAGTTTTAATGTTTAAAACGCACATTTAATTAACTCATATCTCTCAAAAACACTAGCAAAAACCTGCCCTTTATTGTTTTGATTTAGTGTTTTGCTTGTAAATATTGATTAGTCGTCTTCAAATGCATTGGTGGGAAACTACTGATTAATATAGCTGAAGGACATTAAAGCTTTATGTTCGGTGTTGTGTTTGTTTTATAATTTATTTTATAACCGACGTCGAACAGCTGACTTAATTTTGAGATTATGACTATCGATGTTCACCTCCGCAGCCCTGCAATTTTGAATCCAACCCAAAAGACACACTAGCCTTTGACACACTAGCCTTCCTGGAGGACTTTTTGATGAAACTAACCCTACTTGAGCTACACGGAGAGGTAAATCTCGAAAATCCATGGTTAGCCCAATGGTAGGGGGATTCTAACCCATGATCCGTCAAGTACAAAGGATATTTTTCGTCAGCATTGTGGACGATATGAGCCGGGAGCAGAATTCGTATCAACCAGCCACCGTTGGGATTCGAAGCCTGGTCACTTCATTGGGAAGCGAACGCTCAATCACCTGATCCTCCAGCGGCTTCTGTGTAGTGTTTAAAGAAAACCATGTACATTCATAGAGAGAATATATGTTTGTTAAATCTATGAATTAGGAAGACAGCCACTACTCTCATCAGACTAAGAACAAAACATCATAAAAACATGAAAATTTCTACAGATAAGACTAGAAAATATCAAAACTGTGGCAACTGTCTTAATGTGGAACTGACACCATATCATGTTTTTAACTGCCCTGCAGTCGCTGCAGGCCTTCACCTCTTACACTACCCCACAGAAGAGGATTTGTATTCTTTTAATGCCATAGAAATAACAAAAACTATTCAAGCTCACCATGAAATATGATTCAATAGAGGATACGACACCAACCAACCAAATCTATGAATGAATATTTATGAAAGAAAATTTTTTTAAGCATATATTTTATAAGGAAATCGCACATAATGGTAGCATAAATGCAATTTAAGTAAATGCACATGATTGTAAGAGTCAATAAAATAACAGTATTTTTCATCAAAATGTATGGGTATTTTATTATTTACAACAAGCATTCGATATCAAGATTTTTATATCTGCATAAAACAGTACAAGCCTTAAGAAATGATGTCGTTTAATAAAGAGAAGAGAACGTTAGGATTTGATGAGATGGCCATGGCGACGGATTGGAAGGCACCCATTAAACCACCTGGGTTCATCATTCCTTTTTTAAAAACTTCAATGGCGTCTTGGAATAGTTTTACAACAGACTTCTGGAAATCCTCTTGATTCTCTGACATTTCAGTTTGACAGTGTACTAAACATGCGCAGCAAAGTACTACAAAAGCCAACAATGTAATCTTGTGCATCTGAAATTTAAAAAAAAAATCAAAACAATAGCTCAGTTATTCATTCGGGTAAATTGCTACAAATAAATAGTTACAAAATTTGATACAAGGTGTTCAGTAATCACCGACTTTAAGATATAGATTTGGTAGTAGTAGTTCATTAACGCCGCACTTGAACTGCAGAATAGGCTATTTCATTTTATAACCATCGTTGAACAGCCTATCCAAATTTGAGTTTACAGCTACCAATGTTCAACTCCATACCCTTGTAATTTTGAAACCAACCCCGAGGGCAAGGGAACTTTTGGATTAGAATTCCCAGAGGTATTGTTTTGTGACCCCGGAGGACTTCGCGACACCGGCAGATTTAACTTGCTCTAGTCACTATTCAATACACTAGGATTTTTCAGCCGGCTGGATTTGAACTCCCATTCTCTCGAATACGAGTCCAACGCCCTACCAACCAGGCTATCCTAGCCTCACAATAGGCTATCGAGGAAGGTCTGGAAAACATCCCTGAGAAGACAGGACATCACAATTTTGTTCCTCTGCAAATGGGATTGCTCCTCTGCTTTGGTAGCTCGCCGGCATGCACGCGAATCGAGCACTTTAATGTAGAACAGCTTAACGAGACCGATTCCGTGCACCCTTGGTCCCAACGAAGACTGATCAAAGCGGTCACCCATCCGCTCACTAATCGCAAGCTTTATTTCGGTGTTTTACTGGGAACTGCGCCTGGGACCAGTGTTGAATATATAGATTTAAAATAAAAAACTTATATTTTTTGGATTTTTTTCTTGATTTTTTTCTCTAAATTTTTAAAAAGTTTTCATAATTAATTTTTTTAAGGGAATATGCATTTTTAATACAACTTAAATCTGATAAGGAAGGCAAAATATAATACTTTATAACCTGTTTGGATGCTGGAGGAAACTGATAAGTGAAATACGATTATTAAAAAAAAAATTCAGTTTAATTTGGCAACCAATTGGGTTTTACTATTTTTAATCCTGATTTCCTCAATAAGAATTCGTCAGAATTTAATAGATTTTTTGTTTTTCCTCTATGAAATAATAATTTACGACTCTTATTTGTTTAGTTTTATATCATGAAGAGAGATTCTCAAAAATGTATATTTATGACGATTGTTACGAAACACCTAATGTACAGCAATTCCTATAGTGATTTGCATACTATAGGCATTACAAATACTAATTTTTATTGAATTTAGAGAATAGTACAATTCTGATTCCCTTAAATAGCGCTTTCTATGTATTGAAACATGAATTTCTATGCTATGATAAAAGATTGGTTCAAACTACCAGAATATGATTGAATTTATCGCGTTTTTGTCTCTATTATTACGGTTTATGTTGTGATGACATCTTCTTCAGGGACTGTCACCGATAGTCAATTGTGCAGCTCTAGTGCGACGTAAATAAAGTATCTACTTGCCTACTTTTCTATTTAGTTATAGTCATAGAAGGATAGAAGCATCAAATATTCTGATGAAATTAAATTCAAGTGCAATTTTCAGTAGTATTATCATGATACTTTAGAGCATGGTATAAAAATCATTTATTGGGTTAAATTTATTGTTAAGTTTTGTTATTTTGCTTAATAAGGGGCAATAGAAGTTTTAATTATAAAAATCCGTATTTCTGGTGGACGAATAACATAACGAATAGAATAATTACCAAGTAAATAGTTTAAATACCCTATATTTTGGTTCTGTTACCAGAATTATCATTTTTTTCCCTACTAAGTAATACTTTATTACAATACAGGCTATACAAGTAAGGTATTTCTGCTGGAATTATTTCTCCAGGTACTGAATTGTGCATTGTCGCATTGTCTATACAGGGTGTCCCAAAACGACCGCATAAACTCTGCGCAGCTAGATTCCTCGTTGGGAGTACAAGAAAACTGCCCAAAGAAGCGTTTCTGTACGATCCACAGTTTACGAGAAAAATACGAAAAAGAAAGTATGACGTTACTGCCAGTGCAAGTGAAAACACTTTATTGAACATATCAACAGCAAGCAGTTTACTATGCACAATTTAAAGCAGAATATGCCTCGGCGAACGTTTTAAACGTTATCGTCTTGAAAGATATGCAAATGCTGTTGTTGATATGTCCAATAAAGTGTTTTTTTCCTTTACACCGGCAGTGATGTCATACTTTGTTTTTCATATTCTCTTAAACTATGGATCGTACAGGAACGCTTCTTTGGGTAGTTTTTATGTACTCCCAACGAGGAATTGCAGAGTTTATGCGGTCGTTTTGGGACATCCTGTATTTGTCATTATTCACGTTGTCTAATATATGCTTTGCTTATTACCTTATTGTTAATAATATACTTAGCATATCATTGATAATAGAATTAAAATTTGTCCCTAAATTAGGGACAATATAATATAAAAAGTCTGCAGCCATACTGTTTTTTTTTAACTGTCAATTTTTTAAAAAACAATGCTCCCAATTTCTAAAAATAAAATAAGTGTAGACTTCACTTACAGAGTGTACAATTACAAGTGTAAACTTACAGTGTTCGCTGTAAGAAATACAATTAATTTGTATATATTTTGAATTCTTGTTATGAAGTATGTTAAATGAAGTCAAAAAGCATTATAAGTATAAAAGCATTATGAGACATAAATAAGTATAAAATTCAATAAACTAATACTGAATTTCCGAAATAAGTTATTACTAAAAAATATAAAAACGAAGCCATTGTTTACATAATGGAACTTATAAGTGCATCTAATTATCACCTTTCAACTCTTATTTTCTCACAGAATCAAACAGGTTTTGTTGTTTTGTACATCCACCTTATTTGATTGTAATTTCCATAATTGTAGTTGCAATTAATTGTAATTGTAAATCCAAAGCATATATATACAGGTAGTGTGGCTTAGATAATCGTATGTTTAGTGTGCAGAATTAAAAAAAGATATCTCCTTAAATAACTTTCACAAACTAAGAGCTTAACTTAATGGTTCAAAGGGGTGACCTTAAATAAGATAATTTGTTCTAACTATTAATTAAGCTGTAGAAACAGACACAAAAACGTATTTTCTTTGAGCAAATATGCCTTTGGATTATTGGAAGCGGATTTGGATGATTGGCTATAAAAGTATGAGGGATAGCCGTTATCTGGAAAATATTGTCGCAATATTTTCGGCAGGAGAGCTGTCAAAAGTTTGGGTTTCTTTGTATTAGGGGGACTGGAAAGTAATGTCGTTTCGGTGCATTTGATATTTGTTATCAAAATTTTATTTTTAATTAATAATGTATTCACCGTCTTTAGCAACGACGTTTCAATGCTGGATTAAAATGAATTGAAAAAAATGAATTGGTTTTTAAAACTAACGAACATTTAATGAGCCGAAACATTACTTTCCGTTCAACGCAATATTAATTTCACAATCTGCTTGTTTAGCCAAATATCGCAAGATTCAAAGTGAACTGGAAACATTTTGCATAAAATCATACAACTCTTTCAGCTAAAGGAAGTTTTAACCGTTTTAATTATGGTAAAATAAAGTAATAACATTTCTGAAGAAGAAAAAAAAGCACCATAATTCTGATAATTAAAACCAAAATATACGGTATTTAAAACAATAATTTGTTCATTTTTCCGTTTATATGGTAACGGCTTACCGGAAGTTTTTAAAATAATAGTTCTTGTTACCATAAACTTAACAAAAAAAGAAGGCAAAATTAAAGAGTAAATTGAACCCAATAAATGGTTTTTATACCATGCTCTAAGGTATCATGATAAAATTAAAGCATTTTACCACATTTATAAAATTTTATCATATATTATAAAACCATATTTTATTATTTTTACCAAAATCATAACCAAAGTGCTTCAGCGAAAATTTTTGTTTAAATTTAAAAAATTTAAAGAAATTTGAAATTTGTTGAAAAATTTTTGAATTTTGAAAAATTTTGTTGAGTCAAAAACATAGCAAATTTTACCATATTCTAGCTGCATGGTAAATTTTTCCCTATACTTTTTTTCTCAGAGTAATTTTATATTTAGGAAGTAACTCTATTAGTACTCAAAGTAAATTAAATTTATTAATATATTTAGAATAATAAAATTAAATACTTAAAAATTTTTTAAATAGTATTTTCGATTGATTTTGAACATTCGGGAAACATTCAAATATTTATTCCAAACTTTAATTTATGGTACTTGAAAGTACGTAGTTTAACGAAAATCAAAATGGTGAATTCTTTTATAAATTAAAGGATTTTAATTTCTTAAGAAGTTATTTTGAAAGCTTTGTTAAAATATATTTTAGCTTAAAATTATCATTTTGTTAACAAATTTTAAAAGATTTTTTTTAAAAATTGTGCACATCTTGCTCTTGAGATACAGTAAGAAATACATAAATAAAATCTAACATGAAGAGTTCCAGAGTGTTTGAAACCACGTGACTTAACTATTAAAATTCAGTTTTATTCCGATAGTTAAGATTTCAAATCCATCGAAAGAAAAGTGGCTGCGTTTTAGAGTAAATACGTTTTGATCTTATATGCTCGAGGCCAAGTTAATGTTGAAAGTAAGAAAATGAAGAAGATTAGATGTTGATAAATATAAATCGTAACATATACATTGAAGTTTTAAATAAATGTAAAAATATTAATGCAAGAGATATAAAAATTACTTTCAATTTTAATTATAATACTAAAGTATAATTTATCGTTAGATATAGCTAACGAAAAAAGTTACATCCCGTTTTTTTCTAATTGCGTGCATATTTTGTATTCCTAATTTTAACAATTTTAAAACGAAAACTACAGTTGATTGTTTTTCAAATCCAGGTAATCGCTTATTTCGTTTTAAAAAACAAGTTAACAAAATGTTCTGACATAAAATTGTAATAATTATATATTTAACTAATGTCGTTATCTTTATTTCTTGTTTAAAAACACTTTTAAGAAAAAAAACCCATTATGAATGAGAAGAAATTACAAATGGGTGAATGGTGAGCGAAGGATTATATTATTATTGGAAATTATAAAGACTTAAAAATCAGTGCATTTTTAATCGTTTCTTTCTATATTTATCTATTTTTTAATCATTAAAACTTGTTTTAAAATATTAATTTATGAAACTTAAATAGAAAACTAAAAATTTACTAATTCACATATTTATCACTTGAATCGAAAACTAAAATTTACTAATTCAATTATTCATCTCTTAAATCGATAACAAAAATTTACTAATTCAAATATTTATCACTTAAATTGAATACTAAATTTTACTATTTCAAGTATTTTCAACTTAAATCAAAAACTTAATTTTACTAATTCAAATATTTACCACTCGATTTGAAAACTAAATTTTACTAATTCAAATATTTATCACTTGAATTGAAAACTAGATTTTACTAATTTAAATATTTATCACTTGAATTGAAAACTAAAATTTACTAATTCAAATATTCGTCTATGATCGCATATAACATATGTTATATAATATATCTCTGGAATATCTACAAAATAATTAGATTAAAGAAATTTAAGTTCAATATTTTCACTTGCTAAGAATATTTAAATTACTAACTAGTTGCGAAATAATATTAAATTATTCTAATATTTAAATATGTTATTAGTTATTTAACAAATTCAATAAAGTCATTTAACATTATAAAAGTTAAAATCCGTCCTTCGTTTACAAGCAACTATTTAAATTACTAAACAAATTACCTTTAAGAAATTTGGTTTCCTATCCACAAGAATTTTTATTTACGTAAATGATGCATAAGACATTGAAAAAGGAAAATAAAATCTGCTTTTTAACGAAGTTTAATGCTACGTCATAGCATTGAATAACGCCTTATGTAGTTTTAAATTACTCCTGAAACAATCTCAATTAACATTTTGTTATTGCATCCCATGAACGGGCCATAACAGCTTGTTAAAAAATTTTATCGTTTTGTATCATAATTATATTTTCTTTCTCACATATTGGTGCAGGATGTTTCATAAATAGTATGGTTAAAGACACATTTTTTGGAGATGACAGCAAAGACATAAAATACGTCGCAATTTTGAGTATTTATTTTAGATGAATAATTGTAGGTCAGATGATTTTCAAAATTTTATGCGTAGATAGGATTACAATATAAGAGGTAGCGTTTAACTTAAACTCGGGTCGGCTCTTCAACGATGGTTATAAAATAAAATAAAATCAGAAATACTTAAACTCTGTTCTTTTATTATTTATCATTTAGCCACAAATCACGTGATTTTGAACACGAACACTCAAATATATGTAATGCTCTTCATAAATTTGATATTTATAACATATCAAATTATTATATTTAAATATATATATATATATATATATATATATATATATATATATATATATATATATATATATATATATATATATATATATATATATATATATATATATATATATATATATATATATATATATATATATATATATATATATATATATATATATATATATATATATATATATATATATATATATATATATATATATATATATATATATATATATATATATATATATATATATATATATATATATATATATATATATATATATATATATATATATATATATATATATATATATATATATATATATATATATATATATATATATATATATATATATATATATATATATATATATATATATATATATATATATATATATATATATATATATATATATATATATATATATATATATATATATATATATATATATATATATATATATATATATATATATATATATATATATATATATATATATATATATATATATATATATATATATATATATATATATATATATATATATATATATATATATATATATATATATATATATATATATATATATATATATATATATATATATATATATATATATATATATATATATATATATATATATATATATATATATATATATATATATATATATATATATATATATATATATATATATATATATATATATATATATATATATATATATATATATATATATATATATATATATATATATATATATATATATATATATATATATATATATATATATATATATATATATATATATATATATATATATATATATATATATATATATATATATATATATATATATATATATATATATATATATATATATATATATATATATATATATATATATATATATATATATATATATATATATATATATATATATATATATATATATATATATATATATATATATATATATATATATATATATATATATATATATATATATATATATATATATATATATATATATATATATATATATATATATATATATATATATATATATATATATATATATATATATATATATATATATATATATATATATATATATATATATATATATATATATATATATATATATATATATATATATANAAGTTCAGAGATCAGAAATGCCACAGAATGATTACCTGATCCAGCTGTCTTCTAGATCAGGTAAAATTCTTCAATTATCATGACTTATTAGATGTTTCACATTCCTCCAGAGCAAAAAGTCACAAATGCTGAAGTTCAGAGATCAGAAATGCCACAGAATGATTACCTGATCCAGCTGTCTTCTAGATCAGGTAAAATTCTTCAATTATCATGACTTATTAGATGTTTCACATTCCTCCAGAGCAAAAAGTCACAAATGCTGAAGTTCAGAGATCAGAAATGCCACAGAATGATTACCTGATCCAGCTGTCTTCTAGATCAGGTAAAATTCTTCAATTATCATGACTTATTAGATGTTTCACATTCCTCCAGAGCAAAAAGTCACAAATGCTGAAGTTCAGAGATCAGAAATGCCACAGAATGATTACCTGATCCAGCTGTCTTCTAGATCAGGTAAAATTCTTCAATTATCATGACTTATTAGATGTTTCACATTCCTCCAGAGCAAAAAGTCACAAATGCTGAAGTTCAGAGATCAGAAATGCCACAGAATGATTACCTGATCCAGCTGTCTTCTAGATCAGGTAAAATTCTTCAATTATCATGACTTATTAGATGTTTCACATTCCTCCAGAGCAAAAAGTCACAAATGCTGAAGTTCAGAGATCAGAAATGCCACAGAATGATTACCTGATCCAGCTGTCTTCTAGATCAGGTAAAATTCTTCAATTATCATGACTTATTAGATGTTTCACATTCCTCCAGAGCAAAAAGTCACAAATGCTGAAGTTCAGAGATCAGAAATGCCACAGAATGATTACCTGATCCAGCTGTCTTCTAGATCAGGTAAAATTCTTCAATTATCATGACTTATTAGATGTTTCACATTCCTCCAGAGCAAAAAGTCACAAATGCTGAAGTTCAGAGATCAGAAATGCCACAGAATGATTACCTGATCCAGCTGTCTTCTAGATCAGGTAAAATTCTTCAATTATCATGACTTATTAGATGTTTCACATTCCTCCAGAGCAAAAAGTCACAAATGTTGAAGTTCAGAGATCAGAAGTGCCACAGAATGATTACCTGATCTAGTTGTCTTCTAGATCAGGTAAAATTCTTCAATTATCTTGACTTTCCTTGTTGCAGTAGTACCAGTAGTTCATTTACATCGCACTGGAGCTGCACAATAGGCTATTGTCGACGGTCTGGGAAACATCCCTGAGGATGATCCGAAGACATGCCATCACAATTTCGATCTTCTGCAGAGGGGATGGCACCCCCGCTTCGGTAGCCCGACGACCTGCACGCGAAGTCGAGCATTTTACGGTAGAACAGTTTAACTTTGACCATTTAACAGGTAAAATTCTTCAGTTATCTTGACTCATTAGATGTTTCACATTCCTCTAGAGTGAAAAGTCACAAATGTTGAAGTTCAGAGATCAGAAATGCTTTTTAAGTGAAGCCTTTAACCCAAAAGCTATTGTGCAGATGAGCTCCTTCCTACTTCACTGTGCTTGACTATCATTGGCGTGCTTGAGCGTCTGTTAGCTGTCATATTTTGAAGTTCACCATAGATTGATATAATAATGGTATAAGGCTAGTGCATTGCCCTGCCTCGAGCTTGGACTTGAACCATATGAAGAATCTCTTGAACGAGATGTATTGCTGAATTTTGGGGCGCAAGAATCGTCAAATTCGGGGAAGGAAATGGAAAATAATGAAAGGATTTGTGGAATGCATTTTCGGGAGTTGAAGCTGTCATTCTCTTTAGTGGAGGTTATAACAATCATTAATTTATGTTCCTTTTTTATCATTTATGTCCGGAAACTTATTGGTAAATTTTGGCAGACACGCATTTAATTCATTGACATACATTCATTCCATTCATTACATACATTCGTTTAATATATTAACATATATTCCATTCGTTTAAAAAATTTTACGATGTAGTTTGGGTATTGTTGGAAGTTAGAGACGAGACAGTGGGCAAGGTTACAGCAGGAGTTATCAGTGCTCGAGACAATAGGACAGAAATCAAGTTGAGGGTTGTGACCTTCTCGCTCCCGTGAAAATAACGGGGTGAGGTTTCTCTGTTTATTTCTCGCTCCCGTGAAATTTCCCGGCTGGCGTGTTCAGTAGTAACGCGCCAATAAGAGTAAAACTAATTCAGTTCTTTTGCCCGGAAAACATTTTATTTCTCATTTTACACACCAGGTGACAGTACCAGGATATTTTTAAGGTAATTGTAGATAGTTAGTTAAATTTAAACTAGATGTCAGCACTAATCGAATACGTGTATTTGGCGACATAGGCACTTTTATGACCATTTTCTTGAAAATTAACAAATCATTAAGGGGTTAAAAGGATAGAAGAACGAGCACAATTTGAAATAAAATGAATGACGTTACCTTTAGTGTATTCTGAAAGAGTTCAATAATTTTTTCATCTTATTCTTAATAGTAGTAGAATGAGAAAGGGTAGGGTCATATTTTTGTGTGAAATTGTGTAATGGCCAGAGACTAACCCATTCAACATGTTTATAGTAATCAGATTTATTGAGATCAACAGAATTTCATCAATTTCTAAATTTCTGAAGTGAATAAAGTTTTTAAAATAGTAATATCTTACCACAAGGTTCAAAAGATAGAATGCTGCAATCCTCAAAATAATAGTTATCTTTTTTCTTTCTTTTTTTACCTTAAATTGATTGAGAAATCTTAAAAATTAATTAATAAAATTATTTGAAGCAAATAAATACTCATATATAATAGCTCATATAAATATATCAGAGTTGCTTTAGTTTCGACGTTTTTAACTTAATGTTTTTTTTCAAACTCCTGCTAAATAAAATGTTTGCTGCAAAACGTTAGCTTTAATACAGTTCGAAACATGTTTTACTTTCGCTACAAGGCCTTGTTTACATCTGACAATTTCTTGTCCGATTTTGTTTTAGGCAATGACATGAAAAGTGAATTTTTTTAAAAAAAGAAAAATCCATTTTTCTTTTACCTTGAAATTTTTATAATAAAATGCGTTTAGATTTTCTCGAAAAAGTAGAACTAAGTTATCACAATATTTTTTTACAAATAACACAGCAGCCTGTATAATCTTCTGACGCAACAATATACTGAATATGCGTCATAAGTTTAAGGTTAACTTGAAAAAGGAAGTTATTTTATTTTTATTCTCATTGCTGTAATTTATTTATTTAAAATGATTACGAGGCAAATTTTTCACATTTTATTTATCAAAATTTTCGAAAAAATTTCATTTTAGATAAAAAAGATAATATTTCAATGTAAGTTCGAATTTAAGTGTCATCGATTGTAATGAACTTTAGGCAATAATTGGAAGTATATAAGAAACAAATGTAAAAATGTCTTTCCTTATTTTTATTATCCATTTTATTTTCAAAGGTAGGTTTCTTTTCTATCTAAACATTTCAAAGTAAGGAAGCTATATACTGCAAATTATATTTCTTAATAGAGTTGTAAATAATTATAATTAAAATTGATGCATTTAAATATTAATTAGACTTAGTTTTTATAGAAATATGTATTTAAAAAATACGTATTAAAAAAAATATAATAAAAAAATCTTTAACTATAAAAATGTCTTTGATTCGCATTCCTATACGTTTCTAAAGTAAACTATTATAGTTTCGTAATTTTAATTTCTCATCTAACTATAAATACTATCTTCTTATCTTCTTATAGTTAATTAAGATTTATTTATTAAATAAAAACAGTTTTTTATGCTTAAATTAAAACAAATTAATAAACTTTTCAAAAGTAAAGAAATATTGATCTGTAATAAAAAAATTATTATTAAATTCTTCATACCTTTTTGCACTTCTTATTATTTTTTAAATATGTTAAAAACTTTTGTTTTGTGATGGAAGATAATTAAATAATATATTTATTTAATTTCAGTAATAGTAGTAAAAATAATAAGCATATCTAATCTTTTGTCTTTTAATTGCATTTCTATATGCTTCGAAATTATATACTAACATAATTTCGAAAATTTCATTTTTTATATGTCTATAAATATTATTCTTTCACAGTTAATCATGATTTATTTATTAATTGAAAACAGTCAATTAAGATTAAGTAATATTAATTATTAAATAACTTTTTTAAAGAAAGATTAATCTTTAATAAAAAATGTTTAACTAGTATTATTTAATGCTTTTCTTGTTTTATTAAATGTGTTGAAATGTCTTGTTTTGTGAAGAAAAATAATGAAATAATACATTATTTTCATTTAAGTACAAGTAGTTAAAGTATTAAATACAGTTTCATTAAATTAAAAGCCCCTGAAGGATAAGTTTAGTTTTCTCAAAAAACGGAGGCATGTTTTTTGTTTTCTTAAACTATAATAAACATTTTTTTTAGTTCATCTTAAAACTTATTAAGTTGTTTCGTACATAATTTTGTTTCTGAGCTTGAAAAAATGTTTAAAATTAATTATAAATATCTTAAATAAAATGATAATGATATTTTAATATTTTTAGTATTGTGATTACGATAGTTTTTAAGAATTGTTGATTGTTAAATGATATTTTAAAAACTAAATTAATAATGTAATGAAAGTTATGTGATACTTTATATTTTGTTTGTTTTGTTTCATTGGATTGTTTAAGCATTAAATTTTTAATTAGCAATATTATTTCTTTTAAAGTTTGTATGTTTCGTTTATACACTTTAAAGTCTTAAAAAAATTATTTTTTACAATAAGACAATTATTGTTCATTAAAACTTAACAGATAATTTTTAAGGAGAGAAATATTGTCCTCCTTTTAACCAATTGTCTACTAATCATGTGCCTAATAGTTCAAATAAACATGGAACCATGCACATGGAACATAGTCAAATAAATACGGAATCTTTGCAAGAGATGAAAATAAATTTGAATATAAATTTATATAATGGGCTTTTTTTGAGGGCAATGAAAAATCAATTTTTTAAAGACAGGTACCAAGATCTCAGAGATGATCTTTGTTTTCATTGATTTATTATTTGATAAATTTCATAAATTAAAAAAGATTGTTGAAAAAAATTAGATAAAAATTATTGAAAAATGTCAAAAAAATGTTATTTTAAATTATATAATATACTCTTTTTTGAGGGTAATTTAAAAAAAATCTTTTGAGAACAAGTATCAAGATCGCATGATTGATCTTGATTTTTATTGATTGATTATTGTTTGAATTTTGTAAAAGAAAAAGAAAGATGCTGGAAAAAATAATTGAAAAAAGATAAAATTATTTTTAAAAAATAGTATAATGTACTTTTTTGAATCTTTGAAAACAAGATCGAGGTGGATCGTTATTTTCATTTATTTCTTATCGCTCGAAATTTGGGTAAAGCTCGGAAAGTTTTGCGTAAGAATTAGCTTCAGGTTTCGTGGCATTTCATGATTATGATTTTTAATGGAGATTACTTCATAACTGTGAATGAAACATTTTTACCTTTTAACACTTAGGGCAAAAATATCACAGGCTATGAAACGCAATTAAAAAATATGTTTTTCACTCAAATACAAATTATTTACATGCAAGAATTATTAATTATTTACATGTTATTGCAAGAAAAAACAGTGAAGCTCTCGAAGAAATAATAATAAATGTTTGTAATTCAAACGGCTATATAAAGCAATATTTATATGTAGTTCACAGGTAAAATCCCCTTGCACTTCCTTATTTTTTTATTGTGCCACATACTTTGTACTCTTAACATGGTTTCTCGAAGCTCTGTCACAAAGGAAAATAAAAAAAGTCACAGTTTAAGTGCCTTACACTTGAAGTAAAACGATGACTTTAAAATATATTTGATCATCTTGGGCCGTAAATAATTATCTAGGTTTTAGAACAGGCAAATAACTTAAATAGTTTAAAAAGTTATTAAAAGTTTTTCTTCAAATATTCAGTTCGGCAAAAATATTCCATCTTGATGAAAATTATTGAAATCAATACCTTATCCTCCGTTTTTGCAAATTTTCAGGAGCCCAAATATTGCAGCACAGGGGGAAGCTTTTAAATATGGAAAAAATTAGGCCACAAACGCTTTTCATTTTCATAAAAACGTGGCTTTTTCTCCGTATTGACTTTTTGCTTTGTAGCGTTTCTACCACTACAATAATACAATTCCAATTCACTAGTATATACCACATTTTATCTCGATTCCATGCCGGGGCACCTTATTATAGATTTAGGTTGACATTGCTTATGACTACTCTCCCCGTACCGTTATTTTCAGAATAAGCATATTCGCTGCAGTTATAAAATAGCATATTATTCTCAATAAAGTCTCATTTCCTATGACGTTGAAGTCTTAAAATATATATATATATATATATACNGTATTAAATATATATAGGTTTAAATAGAATATATACTTTAGGTTTAAAGTACTCGAATTGTGGCTTTGCAATACAACTTTTCTGACATTTCAATTTTCAAGACAAAAAGAATTTCGAAGAGCATTTATAAGCCGCTTGAAAGAGAATTAATAGTAATAATTCCGTGTGTACCGATAATAGTAATAATTCCATTCTAACTTAGCTTTTATTTTCCCAAACAAAATTTAATTTTAATTTGATGTTTTTTTTCCTTAGATGTTATCAATAAAAACTATGTTGGCAGCCGTAATGGTTATATGCTTGTTGCTGCCATATATCGAAGCCTCTCCCGGTGAAATGAATCCTCTGCCTTTAGTGAGAATGAGAAGACAATCCGATGACGACCAATCCGATGACGACGACCAACTTATAACTGCTAAGAAGACGGAGACCGATGATAAAACAAACTTAGAAGTCCGTGTTAATGTTCCAGAAGATCTTATTAAATCTAGTAGAAAACTGCTTACTGTTTTGAGACAACGCATTCATCAAGCTAAAGAAATTTTATCCATGTTCATGTAAGCAGCCCATTAAGATGAACAGGCTCCTGATCTTGTTTCATTAAATAAAATGCTGATTTCTGCAGACGGCTCTATGATTCTTCAAAATAACCTTACCGGAATGGTACACGGTAAAAAAAATCGGATTAAATTATGGTATTAAATAACGGCACTTTGGTTTCATTATCCGTAAAATCCATTTTTACAGTCAAGTATTATACCGTTATTTTTACAGTATTTATTTAGAGTGATTACGGTAATTATTACAATAAAATATATCAGAATCTTTGCAAAATATAGTATTGAAATATTTACCCTGACCTGCCCCAATTTAGGGCATACGGGTAAATGTTTATTAAAATCAAGAAAAACCTTACCGTCTGCAAAATATAGTATATCAGAATAATATGTGGTATATAATCTGCAGTATTATATGAGAATTTTTGTTCCGTTACATGTTCCTGTAAAAATGAACGGTAAAAAGTATCAGTACAGTCCTTACCTTATTTTACAATATAAAATGTTTATTTTTACGTAAGGCTTTGATTCTTCAAAATAACTTTACCGAAACAGTACATGGTAAAAAAATCCGAGATCAAATTATGGTACTAAGTACCGGCACTTTGGGTGCATCATCCATAAAATCCATTTTCACCGTCAAATATTATACCGAACTTTTTACAATAATATTTATTTAAATAGAGTGATTCATCAATTTTACGATAATTACTGCAGTAAAATATATTATTTCAGAATTTTTGTAAAATATAGTATATCAGAATAAAATATAATATATAGTACATCAAAATTTTCCTTCCGCAACATGTTCCTGTAAAAATGAATTTTACGGTAAAAAGTATCGGTACCCTGAATGCCGGTACTTTTTACCCTAATTAGATCTGGAATTTTTTTACAGTGTACGGACCTTCTATTTATTGGTTCAATCTCTTTATTCATAACGTTTTAAAAATTATGAATGGTACAAGCACATCAGCAAGACAAATTTTAAGATGTCAAGTAATTCTTGAAATTTTAAAGAGAAGTCGTCCAATGTATAGTGCGCCAAAAAAAACGGATCACTCTGAATTACTTTTGATCTAACAATCGGATCTTCACGTTCTAGGACTCAGTTTTTAAGACTCAAGGAGATGACTTCAAATGTGCTAATTAATAAGTGCAGAGGATATTTTAAGTTACGAAATCAGACACAAAAACGTACTTTTTCTTAATAAACATACCTTTTTTTCGACGGATTTAGACTCCCGAAAAATAGGGGGTTGCCGCAATCTGGAAATGTGGCCTCCATAGTTTAATCAGGAGAGCGATCCAACGTTTAGATCCCTTACTGTTAATTTTATTTTTTGCGTGCATTGTTATATCTAAAGAACTTTTTAATAGAATAGAAAAACTTTTGCGCACACTTATAAAATTCCTTTATTCAAAGATAATAAAATATAATATATAATAAAATAAAAATATAATGAAGATAATAAAATGAAAATATAATGAAGATAATAAAATGAAAATATAATGAAAGAGATATTTTTTTATGCATATTTATTAATTTTTATTATTTTATTTAATGGTTGAAAACATTTCGAATTGTAAGGTACGCAGTTTATTGCACAATTTTAAAGAATATAATTTCACAAGGCAAAATACATCATTGGAGCAAAATAGGCCGAATAGTTCCTGAGAAATTGTATTTCAAAAAGGTCAGACATTTAAAATTTGATTTCTCAGGAACTATTTGACCGATTTCGCTCAAATTTTGTATTTTGCCAGGTATGTATATCGTTTAAAATGATGCAAAGAGTTGTATACCTCACAATTTTTTTTAACTATTATTAAATAAAATAATAAAAACTGATGGATATTTAAAAAAAGGTTATTTTTCGCATGGGATTTTCTTTGGGCAAACGAATTTTATAATTGTGTGCAAAATTTTTTAAATCGCCTACAAAGTTCTCAAAATGTAACGAAATACGCTAAAAGTAAAATGACGCAATGAACGACACAAAGACACAATGAAACTCGGTAGCACTCTCCTGACCAAACTGGTGGCACCATATTTTCCAGATTACGGCTATTCCCTTTATTTTGAGGGTCAGAAATCTGAATCCATCAAAAAAAATGGCAAGTTTATTCAGGGAAAGTACGTTCTTGTGTCTGATTTCGTAACTTAAATGTCGTCTGCCCTTATAAATTAGCATATTTGAGCTCACCCCCTTGAGCCATTGAGATTGAGTCATAGAACATGATCCAATCACTAGATCCGGAGTTCGGTTCAAAATTTTAATGAAATAAGTGGAATAGTTCTTAAGAAATCGATTTTAAAATATCGTTTATTTAAAACTCTTGGCACAATACACTGCTAAATGAGAAAGTAAAGTTTAAAATATTTTAAGAATGCATGAAAAAGACTAAGATTTTGTCAGGTCGAGAAATTTTTCACCGAAAATTTCACTCGAGGATAAAAGCATTAATTTTTGTAATCATGATAATCGTCTTAGTCTAATCTAATCTGAAAAAAAATTTGAGATGTGATTTAAAGAAAGAGATTTCATTAACTTTCCACATTCTTTATCCATTCCTCTTTTTTCTTCTTTTTTTTTTAAATAAGACGTTTCTGTTAAAAGCATGTGTTGGATCACTAAGTGATAAACTTAAACAAAAATAATTAAATTATACATTATGAAAGACTATGGAAGAAAAAATGTAAGAATGTATTAAAAGCATAAGGAGTGCAGATTATTATTATCAGTATGCAATACTTAAATACTAATGTGCTTGTATGTAATACTAAATATGCGTAATACGTGTAATTAAGTATGTAATACTTAAATACACGTGCTTGTGCACATAAATATAAATGTGTTATTTGTCTTTTGATGGTTTCGTAATTTACACAATTAATAATCATATATTTTATATTAAAGGACATTATTATTTATTGTATGAAATTCTATTTTTCTAGTATCTTTTTTTTTTTTTTTTTTTCTTCNTTTTTTTTTTTTTTTTTGTATTCTTAAAATCATTCCCGCAACAACATGTTAGGGATCGGGAACATGTTAGGGATCACAGAAGTTAAGGCTTCACAATTTCATTCATGACCAACTGTATGATTGTGGCATTGTGGTCAGCACTGCGCACAAGCCGAATTTACTTCCCAAACAAGCTGATGCCGCCACTGTGAATTGAACCCCAGTTCCTCACAATAACAGTTTAATGTCTTAACTAATGAGCCATCTGTTAATTATGAGTAATATTTAGTGTTGAACTGTGAGTTTTATTTATTTACCAATGAAATTTTTTTTTATTTGATATTTAACAAATAATATAAAATTTCTTCTTTCTGATAAAGATTTTCTTCTTTGATATTTAATGAATAATATAAAATTTCTTCTTTCTAATAAAATATTTCTTCTTTGATACTTAATAACTAATATAAAATTTCTTCCTTCAAATAAAGAATTTCCACCTTGATATTTAATAAATAATATAAAAATGTTTCTTTCAAATAAAGAGTTTCCTCTCTGATATTTAATGAATAATATAAAATTTCTTCTTTCTCATAAAATATTCTTTCTTTGATATTTAATAAATAATATAAAATTTCTTCTTTCAAATAAGAAATTTCTTCCTAATAAAAAATTTCTTCCTTGAAATTTAAAAAATAATATAAAACTTCTTCCTTCGAATAAAAATTTTCTCTTTTGATATTTAATGAATAACATAAAATTTCTTCTTTCTAATAAAAAATTTCTTCCTTGAAATTCAAAAAATAATATAAAACTTCTCCTTTCGAATAAAAATTTTCGTTTTTGATATTTAATAAATAATATAAAATAAATAATATAAAATTTCTCCTTTCCAATAAAAAATTTCTTCTTTGAATGACACAAAAAGAAATTTAAAAGAAATAAATTTAATCAAGAAATTTTTCCTTTGTAAAATACTGAAATGAATTAGTGCATTTGCTTTTGTAGAAAAATTCATTGTAATTTTTTTTATTAATTAAATCTACAAATATTATGCTTAATGTTTGATACAGATTAGCATAATTATTTAATAAAAAGAATCAGAGAATGACTCACTCACTCTCACTTCATAGTAATTGAAACCGTTGTTCTTTTTTAAGTTCTTTCTTATGAGATTAAACAAAGAACGGGCTCGGCACATTTTTATTTAAAATTTAATATACCTCAAATGAAAATCAGTTGCCAAATTATTTTAAATATACTAATTTAGTGACTTTTCATGGGAAATATAAACATGTTTCTATAGATTTTACAAAATAATAAAACGAAGAGGAAGCATTGATTTGGTTAATCATGTGATGTTTATTTGTTTCGAACGATATTGATACTGAGTTGATAATATTAATATATTCTTTTTGAAATACTGAGCAACTTTTTTTAAGAGATAGAACAAACATTAAAACTTCTCCTTGGTCATACTCTCAGAAATAAAACTCTCACTTTTGACGATTTGGTAATCCTTGAACTGCATTTCGGCAATTTTAAGAATAATTTTATCATAAAATCGAGTGATTTGTGATGAAACGATAACTTTCAAATATATGACGAAAATATTTCCTTAACTCAAAACCTCATCGTAGTGCATTGCGGGAGATTGTTAACTAGAGTGAAGACTAGACGACTGGAAATAAAGTGACGTAACTAGTTTACTGGGCTATATGGTGGTCAGAATGTATTGTGATATGTGGTGGCTTCGACCTAGAAATACGGGTTCGAATCCCACTTCAGGAATGAGTGTAATTTGATTCTCTGTTCTATTGTCCTTCTCGTCTTGATGAGATGACATTATAATAGTTCGTCATAATAGCTTGTAAAGCACTGCGAGCTCTTTTTTGGAAAAAATAGAGTGCCAAAATATTTCTTTAATTTTGACGAAATTCGTCTCCTCAAAGAAGTGACGATAGTTATTTCGTCACTTTGACAAAAGTTTTTGCTCGGAGCATGAAATAGAAAACGGTTTCGTCATAAAAGGAGAAAGTTTATCGAGATATTTGAGTATCTATTTTTTACAGTGAACTAAAACTTGATGTCATTTTTAGCAATTTTCTTTTGTCTTATAAAATAAAGTTTATCAATACACTAATATGTCTCCCAGAAAAATAAAGTTATTCGTAAATATTTGTAAATATCTAAGCAATACAATTTATTTAAAAAAAAACGTCTAGAAAATTTAAATTAATGATTTTATCTTATCTAAGTAACCTTTGTTTTCTCCAATTATCAATCTGATAAAATTGAAGATTATTATCTAAATTTAATAACTGACAGAAAAGCGAAAACTTTTCCTATTTTTATACCATAATTATTATCAGTTTCTGATGCTTCATAAGGCATATGAATAAAAGCTTAGCACTGTTGGTGATATTTCAGGCATATTAAGCAGGTAAGTAATATTTAGCTTATTTTTTCAGCACTGTTAAATTTCTATTTTAAACTGAATAAACCAAGAATCAAGCGTCATGTGTATCAAATGTATGTTGATAAATTCACATATAGCAAAACCATTTTCAGTCACTAAGAGAAATTGATACTCGGATATCACGAAATTTTTTCATTAAACTTTTTTCTAATATATGCTCCGATCGAAACTTTCGTCATAATGACGAATAGCTATTGTCACTTTCTCGAGGAAATAAATTTCTCAAAATGAAAAATTCATTTCGTGATTTTATTTTTTTTTCTAAGAAAAGGAATATAAACGGTAGTACCACGCTTTCCGAATAATATTTTATCGTGGTCACATGATAAGTAGATCAATGTCACCCCAACAACACCAGAAGGTATAATAGAGAGATAAAGTACACCCATGACCGAAGTGGTATTCGAATATTGGACCTTTCTGGTGCGAGGCCACCTTCTTGACCACCATATAAGCTTAATTCGTCACTTTCTTTTTGATAGTCCAGTCCTCATTCTAGTTTCGTCATTCAAATTAACAATCTCCCTCAATGCACTACGATGAACTTTCAAATTGAGGACACAATTCTATTATATATTTGAGAATTCGTGTTTTGTCCTAAATCATTTGATTTCTTGACGAAATTATTCTCAAAATTAACGAAATACAGCTCAAGGATTGCTGAATCACCTAAAGGAAGGGTTTTATTTCTGAGAGTATACGATCATCATGTACAGTTTCATAAATGCAAGTACATCAAATTTAATACCTAGGTGGATATACCAGAGGAATAGTTTCGAGAATATTAGAATTCCGACCCAAAGTGTTTAGTGATTTTCATAATTATTAATTTCACTTCGTATATCCTCTAGAGAGCCCAAGATTTACATTAAAAAAATATACTTTTTATTTCATATTTTGTAACCGTAGTTAAACAGCCTACCCAGTTTTTGGGTTTACGACTACTAATAACAAGCTTAACCCCGCCCGGCACCAGTAGAGGGGCAACCGGGGGCACTCCGAAAGTTCGAAGAGTTACGCTCCGAAAGTTTACGACTGCTAATGTTCAACTCTGTAGTCTTGTACTTTTGAACCCAATCCAGAAGACGGGGAAACTCCTGGATCAAGTATTAGGAGAAATTTACCTTCGTGGAGGACTTTTTGATGGAACTAACCCGCATTTGCGTTACATGGAGAGGAAGACCACGAGATCCTTCCAAAGTTAGCCTGACGGCAAAGGGACTCTAGCCCGTGATCCGTCTAAGACTGAGAATATTTCCCATCAGCACTATAGTCGGTGCAAGCCAGATGCGGATTCGTATGGGCCAGCCATCGCTGGATTTGGATTCGAGCCCGGTTCACCTCATTGGAAGGTGAACGTTCAATCCCCTGAGTCACCAAGATTCAAGAAAAAGAAAAATTTATAGTCAAAACTACTAGAATATGGTCAAATTTACCATTTTTTTGGTACTATGGCAGCACCAAAAAATCAAAGTAATTTTTATCGAAGCACCTTGATAACGATTTCGGGAAAATAGACAGTAAATATTGTTGCATAATATTTGTTAACATTTTGTAAATGAAGTAAAATTAGTAATTTTATCGGGATACTTAAGAGATTGCCATAAAAACCCTTTATACAGTAAAATTTACTATTCAGTTTTGCTTTTTTTTACTAAGTGTGTGGCAATAAGACTATATTTTTGAAAACCATCATTTCCTGCAAACCGTTGTCATATGAACTAATGTGGTTGAACGAAGTGGATGGTTTAAATTCTGTATATCTTGATTTCATTGCTAGAATTATGGTTCTTTTTATCAGAAATGTCTTATGCAGTACCAGAAATTTTTTCTCCTTGAAAAATTAAGCAATAAAATGCGATTGTTTACTTTTTTACTCAGAAAAATATAGCTTAGAAAGCAAACTCATAAATGCAATATTTTTTTTAATAAATCTAATCAAGTTTTTCAATTATTTTCACCTATTACATGAAACAAACATAAATATTAATTTTAGCATATGTCCACAACAATTATTGTGTATTTCCTTTACATTACGGTCATGACACCAAAATCTACTGTCAAATAATAAAATGTTTATGAGCCATGAAACTACCCAAGTTCCTACTGGAATCAAACTTTTTAAGATTCTTATAATTTTTTGCTGTTATTAAAAATTCCAGCTAACGACGGTAAAACCATACATCCTAAATACATCGTACGTACACTTTAACGTAGAAAATTTTATTGTGCAGGTAGAAAAACAGGTAAAAATGTTATGCAAAATGTAAAGGCACACAAGTAAAAATGTTAAAATGCTATTTATTCCTGATAAAATTATTTCAATTGCTATCCAAAATATTAGACGCTGAGATTTCAGTGGATCTATTATAATATTGGCTGCATTAGAATCTTTTAATGCATTCAACCTTTCAACAAACCTTAGTTGTCGGCAAAGGAAGACATGGCCAAAGAAATTCTAGTAAAATTACCTTCCTTACTGTACGGTAAGGAAATTTCTGGTAAAGGGACACAATTTCGGTTAATAAAACCAAATTATACGCTATTTAATCTATTCATTTGGTAATCCGCTCAGATAGTAATGGTTTACCGGAAATTCTGGTTTTCAAAATCATAGTTCTTATTACCATAGATTTAGTTTAAAAAATACAAAGCTGAATAGTAACTTTAACTGAATAAGTGATTTTAATGCCATTCTTCTAAGTATCATGATAAAATAGCCAAATTTTACTACATTTATCAAATTTTATCACGTATTAAAACTATATTAGACTGTTAATATTTTTTAAAATCATAACCGATGCGCTTAGATAAAAATTGCCAAGATATTTGGTGTTCCCATAGTGTCAGAAACACGATAAATTTTCTTTTTCATATTCTTATTTTTTTTTTTATTAGTGCATGATCCACCTGTTTCAGGTCGAGAAAAGTAAACGAGTTAACCAGACAACAAATCTGGGCCACTTGTTTGAAAGTTAACGATTTAATTCCTTTTAAATGAATACAAATAATGAAGAGTAAAATATAAAATTATAAACGGCCGGTTTTATCATCAAAAAAACATTGGGAAATGTTTATGAGACGATGATACAGTTTTTTAATGTATTTTTTTACCCCTAACGTTTTTAATTATTTATGCATTTCATCTTTTTAAAATTTCTTTCGATCCGTTTCCTTCACTTTGCTCTAAGCTATCATGATATAATTACCAAATTTTAGAACAATTACCAACTTTTATCACGCATTCTAAAACCATATTTCATTGTAGATTTTATCATAATCGATCGTAATTGAAGAGCTTCGATAAAAATTTCGATTTTGTTCTCCAAATAATTATTGGGGTTTCTTTATGAGATTTCTTTATGTGATTAAGAAACAGCGGTTTAACGTGTTTTTACTCCCAATCGCTTTGATTATTTTAATATTTAATCCTTTTCGTTGTATATATCCTTTACTCTGCAGATTTTTTTCAAAATATATTTTATTAACTTCATTTTGATCATTTTGCAGGCGATGGCGTTGTACGATCTTTGCGTTATAGGAGGTGGCATGTTCGGCAGTGCTGCTGCGAGGCATGCTTCAGCTAATCCAGCGTTAAAAGTATGCTTAATTGGACCACCAGAGCCAACGGTAACGTTTAAATTTTTTATTTTTATTTCAACCTTTCGATCTAAACATAAATATGTTTGCCTAGTTAGTAAGCGGAATTATTATTAATTTTTTTTCTTGAAGAATGCATGAAAAGTAACTTCCACTTTGAGTATATCATGATATATTTTTAGTGTCCTTAGTGTCGGTACTTTCAACCGTAATTTGATCCGAAATTTGTACAGTGTACGAATATTCCATTTTTTCATTACGTATTAAGTTATCAGTGATATACGTATTAAATTATCAGTGATATAGTTTCATTACGTATTAAATTATCAGTGATATACGTATTAAATTATCAGTGATATACGTATTAAATTATCAGTAATATACGTATTAAATTATCTGTGATATAATTTCATTACGTATTTAATTATCAGTGGTATACGTATTAAATTAACAGTGATATCAGTGTCAAATAATTTTTGAAACTTCAGAGGAGTGCTGATGTTCTTTTACCGTAGTTTGATTTGGAATTTTTAAGTGTATAAGCAAAGTCTGTTCTCAAATCGTAATGAAATTTATGTCTTAAGATGTTATGAATTCTCAATCAAAAACAATTCATAACAACCGGGAGAATTTTTCTTTCCCTTTTGCGATCTCCCCTTTTCTCATAATCCATTTTTTTTTCGTTTTTTTTCTCTAGAAAAGGATCTTCTGTGTTAGCAAAAAATTAAAAACTAACACAAAAACAGCGTTTACGCGTTCATTTGTCTAATGAAATGATTTGAGATGATGAAACATTGTACTGTGTTTAGGATTTCAACTTTAAACTTTTTAAACTCATCAACACTGCTTTAACACATATTCGTAATAATTAATTTCATATTTTTCCTAATGAATTATAGAGTTTCTTCCCTATTTTTGTAATACTTTTTTGTTTACGAAAATCTCCTTTTTTTCCCTTCAATACAGCCCGAAGAAATGAAAACCAGAGATATATTTTCCTCCTATTATGATGCTGGACGAATAACCCGAGTTCTTGATGAAGATCCAGCCTGTGAAGTTTTATCCAGACAGTCTATAAAACGATATCATGAAATTGAAAAACTATCTGGTAATTAATTTTTAAAAAACACATTATTTCACATATACTATTACGAGAAAATTAAGAATGAATCATTGAAGTTACAATAACTAATCATTTGAAAATATAAATTGATTTCCTTGTTTACATAATATTATTAGTGAAAACACAAAAACATAATTTTATGAAAATAAGGATGACCCTATTTTCACTTGAGTTTTAGTTTGCCGTTGAACTTTAAGAATTGTTGCAAGAACTAGCAAATTTGTGCTAACAATATTGGGTTCCAGAAATACACCAACTCATATATGCTCAATGGAAACTTGCTTAAAATATGAATAGAAAACAGACAAGTCTATGAATAGTTCTAAGCACCTCAATGCCTATCTTTTCCTTTAATGGGATCTTATCCTTAAATAATAAGACATTACAGTTTGTAAAAAAATAAAAACAAAGTCGGCTCACTCTGGATGTACCATCATATGTGGGGCATTTTACTTTATTTTATAAGCGCCGTTGAACAGCTGATACAATTCTGAGTTTACGGCAATCAATGTTCAACTATAATTTTAAACCCAATCTGGAAGACAAAAAAAAAACTCCTGCAAGAAGCATTGGGAGAAATTTGCCTTCATGGAGAACTTTTTGATTTAACTAACCCGTATATGCGTTACATGGAGAGGAAAAACATGAAAAACTTACACGATTATCCTGACGGCAAGGAGACCCTAACTCGTGATCCTTCTACCACCGAGGATATTTTACGTTACCACTGTGTTCGGTGCTTGTTGGCGCAGATTTTTTACCCCAGCCTGTTGCTAGGATTCGAACCCAGGTCACCTCATTAGTAAGCGAGTGCCCTATCTCCTGAGTTTTCGCGGCTCAGATGTGGGCCCTTGCCTGATGTTTCCTTGTCCGGTATTACTTACACTGATATTTTTTAAGGTTTGTGACTATAGCCCGAAATGCACTTGCTTCTTTACGCTAATGTTTCTTTAAGGTACATAAACAGGATATTTTTGTCACGATTTTGTCCGGATACTTTTTGATATAATATATATAATAATGCTTTATAATTTTTTTTTCAATGTGTTTCAAAATTTTGAGACTTTTTTTGAATAAAAAAGAAATTTTAAAATATATTCGATACGAATAATAAATGAGAGATAGCAGAGAATTGCTTTGAAAACATTTTTATATGTAATCTTTTTTCCGATTTTTTCCTTTTCCAATGACGTTTGTTTATGAATCCATCATAAGTTAATAGGTTCGTCGTCTTATTTATGTTTCATTAAGCTTTAAAAGGAATTTTTTTTTTCAGGAATAAAGTCGCTTTATTTATGTTTCATTAAGCTTTATAAGAAACATAATTTTCTTCCAAGAATAAAGTCATCTTATTTATGTTTCATTAAGCTTTATAAGGAAACATAATTTTCTTCCAAGAATAAAGTCATCTTATTTATGTTTCATTAAGCTTTATAAAGAAACATAATTTTTTTTCAGGGATAAAGTCGTCTTATTTATGTTTCATTAAGCATTATAAGGAAACATATTTTTTTCTGGAACAAAGTCGTCTTATTTATGTTTCATTAAGCTTTATAAGGAAACATAATTCTTTTTTTCAGGAATCAAGTTTCATACACCAGTAGGTTGCCTCTTTATTGTCCAAAAAAATATTCCAGAAGTGAAAGCTTTGTTACAAGCTGCCGACGCAAAAAATGTATCCATAACAGATGTATCATCTAAAGATACATTTACAAGAAGGTAAAATTCTTTTAGATATCTCATATCATGTTGAAAAATTGATACTAATGTTCAATATATAGCATATACATTCACATTAAGGTGAGTTCATACACATCATCCAATGTTTCTTTCCTCCTCTGTCTCAAATTTTCGGGTCAAACATTCAATTCTTTACCTTTAGTGCCTGATTTCGCTTAAATTTAGCGCATTGTAGCCAATTGTGAATCTTATGTAATTAAACTTTGCGATTGTATAAAAGTTTTATTGTAAGAATTTTGAACTTAATTCTGTGTATCATTGATAAAATATATTAAAAGATTGATCGAAACAATAATTTATGCGAAATATGAATATTTTAATTCTTTTCTAACACAGTGTATTAATCTAGAACTAACAAAGCAATGTAGTTTCATGTGTTTTTGTATTCACCAATATGCAAATTAAAGCTCCAATAGGACGGGATAGCCTGGTTGGCAGGGTGTTGGACTGACGTTTGCGAGAACGGGAGTTCGAACGCAGCTGGCTGAAGACTCCCCGTGTAGTAAATGGTGACTGCTGCACGTTAAATATGTCGGGTCACAATGTCAATACTTCTAGGGTTACTGAATTGGAGATAGATCTTCTCTGGTTCAGATCAAAATTGCGATTTGTGGACGAGTGAATGGATGTAAGTATGGATCCGCCCTATAAACGGGTCTGATGTATGGGTGTGGCAGAAGTCAAATTCTGCACCATAGATGGCGCCACTGGAGAACAAGAACAATCGAACCCCTCTCTGCCTCAATAGCCGAAGACAACAACAACAATAACAAAGCTCCAACACATTCATCCTGAACCGCGATGGCTCAGGGGATAGAGCTTTCGCATTCTTCGAATCCGAGTCGATACAAATTCCGCATCCGGCTTGCATCGAACACATTGTTGACGAGAAATATCCTCAGTGATCGACGGATCATGGGTTAGAGTTCCCTTACCGTCAGGCTAACCATGGGAGGTTCTCGTGTTCTTCCTCTCCATGTAACGCAAATGTGTCTTAGCTCCATCAAAAAGTCCTCAATGAAGGCAAATTTCTCCCTATACTCGATCCTTGTCTTCTGGATTGGGTTCAAAATTACAAGGCTACTGAGAAGTCGTAAACCCATAAAATTGGGTCGTCTGTTCAACGACGGTTATAAAATATAAAAATACATTCATTTCGAAGAAAACAATAGCTTTTATTACAAAAACTTTTATTTACCAAATGTTAAAAAATATTCAATCTGAAAACTATTTTTGCAGTTAATGTGAATTATTTCTTTTGTTTTAGGTATCCCTATCTGAACTTAAAGGATGATGAAATCGCCCTTTTGGATGATAATGGTGGTGGTCATATTGATCCCAGAAAGCTAGTAGCTGCACAAAAGAAAATTTCTAAGCTTCAAGGTTGTGATATTATTGAAGGCATCGTAACGAATTTGAAGCAAGAAAACAACCACTATCAAGTAAGCTTTCATCAATAAATAAAAAATAAGGACTATTATATGGCTAGTACTAGTCAATCTAGAGTAATAATCTAATATAGAGTAATAGCCTAAATAAATCTCAATCTTGTCACTATTACTATTATAAGACTATTACTTGTCTACCGAAAATTGAGATTATTACTTGCAACATATGTGCATGTATTTTCTGTAACAGATACTGAAATCTGACTCCACTTTAAAGAACTAAAAATTATCGAAGTTTCTTTTTTTAAATTGCTTTATTTTTCCTTTTTAGGTAAAAACTGAAGCAGGAAATACAATTACTTCAAAAAGGGTGCTTATAGCAACGGGAGCATTTATCAATTTGAAAATGCACAGTGATTTAAAACCTTTGATCGCCACCAAATACAAAGAAACAGTTGCTTTATTTGAAATTCCTGAAAATGAAGTTAAAAGACTGAGGCAAGTCATAGTGTTTTCAATTTATATTTTCGGCAGAATTATTTTTCTATTAAATTTACCAATAATACTATTTTTTACTAACACGTTGAATGTCATGGGGGTCACCGGTGACCGACCACTGAGTTTGTTCGCAATGCCACAGGGGTCACAGGCAAAGCCAAGATATTTTAGTAGATTTAAATCCACCACTATTTCTAAACAATTCGTAGGCTTATATAATTCATCACTCCTTTCAGATATGTCATGCTAAACCTTTTCAAAAACTAGCAAAATGTGTCTAATATTTGCAAATTTAGTTTGTTGTAGTTATTTACCGTGGCCAGACGGCAAGCCATGTAAAATTAGCGTGGCATTCAACGTGTTAATTTAGCTAATTTAGGAGAACGAAAAACATTCTACCTCGCATTTACGTTGAAAAGGTGAACTGACCCAAGTCAAAATTTTTGATGACTTTCCATTGATAGACCAACATAATCTGGTTGGTAATCATCAATAAATCCATCATGAACCATTATATTTCTTGATGTTAACCAACATAAGCAACCATTACCTTAATGTGGGAATTCGGACTGATTTATGATGATCCAGCATAAGAAAAAAAACTTGTTTTGATGGCTTGTTCATGTTGAAACAACAGAAATTTCCATCGTAGTTTCGCAGAAATCAAATGTTGGAATAGTCATGATGAACCCCCATCACACCAATCAAAAAATTAGGACTGATTTATGATGATCCAGCATAAGAAAAACAACTTGTTTTGATGGCTTGTTCATGTTGAAACAACAGAAATTTCCATCGTAGTTTCGCAGAAATCAAATGTTGGAATAGTCATGATGAACCCCATCACACCAATAAAAAAATTAGGACTGATTTATGATGATCCAGCATAAAAATTTGTTTTGATGGCTTGTTCATGTTGAAGCAACAGAAATTTCCATCGTAGTTTCGTAGAAATCAAATGTTGGAATAGTCATGATGAACCCCCATCACACCAATCAAATAATTAACTGATTTATTATGGAATAGCACAAAAAATAACCAAATTGTTTTGACGCTATTTATTAGTTCTAATTATATTCCTGCAGAACCAACATGAATTATTATTAAACCATCATAGAAATTCATTGCTGTACCATTAGGGATCATCATGAATTTCCATCATAGTATCATAGAAATCAAATGTTGGAACGATCATGACCAACCATCATCCCACTATATAAATTAGGACTGATTTATGATGGTTCAACATTAAAAAAGCAAATTGTTTTGATGGTATATTCGTGAGAACTGACAAGAAATATAATTAAAATATCAAGGAAATGTATAGTTAGAATCATCATGAACCATCAAGGATCACCAAGCAGTTATCGTCCATGAGAATCAAACTTCTGTTGATGGTTAATCATCATAGATTTAAAATAGCATTTTTCGTCATGGAATGATGGAAGTTCTTTGGCATATCAAAAACCATTATGGAAATGTTGGATGATGGTGACCATCAAATAAAGAATCGCACTAAAACCAACATAAACTATCAAAATTTTTTGACTTGGGAAAATAGCAAACTTAAGTGAATCCCCTTAAGAATTTAGACGTGTTTTAATTCTTACATGTATTTGTATTTACTTAAACAAATAAGGGCAATTAATTATTCTTTTAAAAATTAATTTATGAAAGCAACAAAAATTTTGAAAACTCTATAAAAATCAAAATAAAATCAACAATGTAAAAACATGCTTTTATTGGGTCTAAATAATACTGGCGTAAATTAAACGAATCAGATTATATCAAAACACAGCTGCTTGTGGAAGACTGAAAAAGAGCAAATTCTAGTATTTACGTTATGTAGCAGAATGTTTAGGTGTAGGAAAAAAATCATAAAGTAAAAATTATTTTAAAACTTAATAAACGCTAAGCATCTCTAAGATATACTAAGACTACTTAAGAGGCGTACCAATTGATAGTACTTTCTTAAGTAGTTAAGTTTTACGACCTCGAGTTTTGACCTTAGGCTAGAGAAATAGATCAAAATAAATTTTTTAGGAGTAATGGTTAAGAAATTATCGGGGGTTTATGTATAAATGTTTCTGTACTTATTTATGTAACTTATTGTGTAACATTGCAACAAGTCCCGATTGTTATTGACCCGATCGTTAAGACCTTAACGATCGTGGACTGATCGTTAAGACACGGCTCCCAGCAGATCACCGAAGTCAAGCATCACTGGCTGTGGTCAGTGTGCGGGTGTGGTCAGTGTGCCTAACTGCACTAAAAATAACATACGGGATAATTTTGACCAGTTGGAAGTGCTTTGTAGTTACAAAGTCATTGACGATTTTAAGCTGAAAATTTCAAAAAACGATATGGCCTGCATAAGATTATTTTAATAAAAGTATATTTTCTTACTTTAGTGGTTTTGGTATGAACTGTTCAAACGTTTTTTTTTCAAATAGATAAATTATTGCTACAAAAAGGTCTCCACCAAGGTGAAAAGTGTTTTAAAAAGATTTATTTTACTTCTGAGAAGTAGATAAAAACTGAAAGTAACATAACAATTACTGTAATATAATAATATTAACTACAGATGTCTTTTTTCTAACGTCATTCTATTTGACGTTTCTATGATGAAATTATACCTAATATAAAAATATTATTCTAAGACATTATTCTGTTTGTTGTCGTATTAACTTTTATTTTAATTAATAGAAAAAATGAAAACGTTAACTTAATGATAATTTTTTTCGGCTCAACTACATATTTTACCATACATCTTATTTCTGAACTTCAAAACCTCTCAGCATCTAAAAAATTTTGACCGTTATATGAATATTTGAGACCGTATTTCTGTGCCTGGTTGGTAAGACGCTGTGCCCATATCCATGAGGTCGTGAGCTCGATCCTCGCCAGTCGAAGGTTCCGCGTGGTGACTGGTAATGGTGACTGGTGCACCTTAAACCTGTCCAACATGTTCTCAAAACAAATCAAACCTCTGGGGGTACTGAATCGGAGAATGATCGTTCAGGTCAAAATTACAATCTGTGGATGTATGAATGGGTCCACCCTATAAGCGGGCAATCATGTGTGAGTGGCTGAAGTCGTATTTTTGGTCACAGATGGCGCCACCAAAAAATAAATAAAGCACATTCTGTCTTAAATTCGTTTGGTTTTACCAAGCAAGTTTGCTGGTTTCTGAAAGTCGCATTAGAAACAACAACAAAAAACCTAACTTCTGAAATCAGTTCTATGTTTCTTATACATTGCTATAGGATTAAATTAACGACAAACTTTCGAGATTAATCTTGCTTATTTTCGATAAGGTTTCATAATTAACTGTTTCACCCATTAAAAAATTCTATTCACATAAATAAGAACTTCTTTTTCAGCTCATTACCTGATGTTATACATGTAAGAGGGAGTGATAAATCTTTCCCGAACGGAATCGGTACCTATTTTCTTCCCCCAATAAAATATCCAAATGGTAAGAGTGCTAACAACAAACTTTTTAAATCAATAATTTTTAATGATGTAGAGGTGTAATCACAAATCATCACATCTAATAAAGCATTTATATAATGCATATATTGCACAATATATGGATTTAATCGCTTTTCTCGTCTTTAAAGCGGATTTGTTTCCTATAAAAAAAGTATCTCCTATTTTATTATTAGAAATTAGAGCTGAGCAGATGGAATTCTGTTCCATATTACGCTGACATCAAAACACTTGATTCCAATGTATCTGCATAATTCAGTTGGTTACCTACAAGTGACGTCATCGTAGGTAAACTGTGACATTTGCCGATTCAGAAACCAATTATGACGTCACTTACAAGTGTCCAAATAAATCTGATTCATATCCCATGGCTATCACTTCACTTATTCTCGAGTTGCAAGAATATATTTTAAAACTGCAGAAATCGTTTGATTTGAAAAGATTTATTCCTATTACTGGCTACATTATTGTTATCTAGAATACTAATCATGCTAGAAACCTTCGATGATTGTTATCCTCAGGCCTTCAAAATATTTAAAAAAATATATACCCAAAACACATTTTTATTTTTCTTAAAACATTTTTGAAAAGGAAGCTTCATACTATAGAAGAAAGAAGTTCAATAAAATTAAATGGATTGGTTAGATTTCATATTATAAGAGGATAAGATAATTAATTAAATGAAATAATAACGTTTTGCTCACAATGAAAAGAAGTGCATGAAACAAAGAATTGAAAAAAAGCGGATTTTAGAAATGAAACTTCATGTTGTAGAAGCAGCATGAGACTTTTATTTAGATTGAAAGGAAACAGTTTACTTAGAAATAAAAAAAAATTCTACAAGGGACAAAGGGTAAGACAATGAATTATATAAAAATAAGATAATTTAGATCTTAATAAAAAAAAAGTCACCTTTTTAAGATAATTAGTTTTTCATAGAAAAACTTCAGATATTAGAACGGTAGGACAATTAATTAACTCGAAACGAAGTGATTAAAGAATAGTTAACTATTCTTTAATCACTATCTTCACTAAGTTAACCATTCTTTAATCACTATTTAATTTCTGTCTTCTAGAAGCGCAAGTCATTAAATATTGCATGATAATGTATGGAATTTGAATATAAATTCGAAATTATATTCAAATTCTATACATAGAGAATGTTTTAACAAATTAAAAGTAGAATAGTTCGGTCACACTGGACCTTTAAATGTTAGCTTAACATTACTACACTTCTCTCTTACCTCAATCATTTCATATTGTGTTTAGTTATTTTTTCGACATTGATGAGAAATATGTATTCTGGGTATTGAATCCTTCTCCTCTAACTTTGCATGAACTTTCATGACGCTATTAAATTATTCTCCTCTAACTTTCATGACGCTATTAAATTATTCTCCTCTAACTTTGCATGAACTTTCATGACGCTATTAAATTATTCTCCCTTAACTTTGCATGAACTTTCATGACGCTGTTAAACTATAAAACGAATTTTCATTCGTCAGAAATGTCTCAGCTTATGTAGTGAAAATAAAATTTATTAAACAATATAAATTCTTACAAATGTTATCTTTATTTTCATCAAAAAGGCAAATTTTACATAAAAATCGGAGTAGATGGATGCTCAGAAGAAGCTAAAGATTTGGATGATATTAAGAAATGGTACCAATCAGACGGTGACAGAAAGTTAATAGAGTTGGAAGAAAAACTTATTAAGATGGATTTACCAGGTTTGTTTTAAGTTTCACTGTCATTCTCGTAAAAATTACTAATTAATGCAAGATTAATGTGATTATGTTTTAACAAATTCGATGTGTGATACGGCGTTGTCTTTAATTAACTTCACGTTAATTAACATTCTAATTTATGTGGTGAGACTTAGCACAACGCTCCAAAACATCTTGTTTTTAAACAATCTGGCGTTGAGGTCATAGATCACATGTCTGGGTATTAATGATCTTCTTCTTATTATTATAAGGCAAGTATCCAATTCCATTTTGAGAAATTGAAGCGTGATCTCAAAATGATACCGGAACCTTAATAATAAAAAACTAATGAATTCATCCACTACCACTAATTATCAGAAATTTATTTCGTACTTAGAAAAATACTCTTTTTATTTTATTTTCTTAAAGAAAGAAATGGGTAAAAATATAAGTAGAATAGTAAAACATTAAAGTTTTCGATTATCAGACCAGAAATTTTAGGTTTATAAATAATAAAAAACGAATGAATTCAATCACTCCCACTAATTATCAGAAATTTATTTCGTACTTAGAAAAATACTCTTTTTATTTTATTTTCTTAAAGAAAGAAATAGGTAAAAATATAAGTAGAATAGTAAAACATTAAAGTTTTCGACTATCAGACCAGAAATTTTAGGTTTATAAATACTTTTATTTCTTTATTTTATATGCTTATTTTTTTATAACCGTTTTTGAACAACCGACCCAATTTTTGAGTTTTCGACTGCTAATGTTCAACTAATTAGCCTTGTAATTATGAACCCAATATCCAGAAGACAAGGAAACTCCTATATCAAGTATTGTGAGAAATTTGCCTTCGTGGAGGACTTTTTGATGGAACTAATCTGCATTTGCGTTACATGGAGATGAAGACCACGAGAACCTCCCACTGTTAGCCTGAAGTCAAGGGGACTTCAACCCATGATCCGTCTACCAATGACAATTTTTAACTTTGGCACTGTGGTCGGTGCAAGCCGGATGCGGAATTCGGAAAGCGAACCCTCTATCTACTGAGCCATTGCTGGTCTTACATACTTATTCGCTCATCTGCTAAATACGACTCAAAAACTCACTAATATGCATCATTTCATACACCTTTTTCATTCATTATAAGTTAAAAGAATGGCTTGCAGTAACAATTATTGTAGCAATGAGCTATTTGAGAAAAAAAAGAGCGATCGCGATTTAATATTGATTACTAAAGCCTCATTTCTTTACAGATTTATGCAGGATTATAAATCTAGTTTTTGTAAGTTAATGTCAGGAAAGCTGTCTTTACATACATAAACACATTTTAAAATATTTAAAAATAGTTTTAATGAATGTAAATAGCTATTAAGACTGAATTTACTGAAAAGACTCAAAATAAATTTGGAATAATTTAGCGGTATCATCGTTTTAAACTTTACAAAGCTTCTGAAAAAAAGTAGTTTTTTAATTTTTATATCATTTATTATCTCAAACTTTCTCTTGTGAATGCTTAAAAAAATAAACAATAAATTTATTAGAATATTTACGCATATATTTTAAGCTCTTCAGAATTTTAATTTTTTCCCTACTTCCATGCATCTATTTTTAACTTTGATACCTGTGTATTAAATTTTGAGCTTAACGTATAAAATTTTTGTGTTTGCTTATGTATCGTTTATACTTAAGTTCGAAAATGTTAATTTCAAATTAATATAAGTTGCAATACTGGCTTTGTAGCCTCTTTGCGGGCAAGGAATTTTTTTCTTTTGTGGAAAATTACGAAATAATAATAATTAAATAAATTTGTTTTTTTTTTCCTTCTGCTTTTTCTCTAAATGATTAATGATAAACTTACAAAAGATCTCCTAATTTTTGGTTCCATCACGGCATAGCGCGTTTCGATGTAAAATTTTCAAACATTCGGTCTGATAGTTTTTGAGTAATAAGTTTGCGTAAATAAGTTTTGAGTAAATCAGCTAGCATTTTTGGTGAAAGAGCCAGAGATGGCTGTGCCGCATCATCAGCTTGGTATAAGCAAAAGGTTTCCTTTGTAAAATAACAGCCTCTTTTGTTTAAATTAAGAAGTTTTATGTATCGAATTGAAGTGTAGAATCCGATATTCTTCATACAAAATAAGAATTGGCCTGAGGTCTATCACATGAGGATTGACATGAGAGCTTTTTGATGGAACTAACCTCCCATTTGTGTCACATGGAAAGGAAAATCACGAAAACATCCCACGATTAGCCTGACAGTGAAGGCACTTTAACCCATGATCCGTCTAGCATTGATGATATTTTTCGTCTGAGTGTGGCTGGTTAGAGCCGGGGAAGGAATTCGTATCGACCAGCCATCGCAAGGATTCAAACCCGGGTCACTACTTATTTATCCTCTGTATCACCACGACTACCTATCACCATTCAGTAAGCAATCATTAAGTAATCTCCAATTTATCACAATTTAATTAGTAATCTATCACCAATTATACTTACTAATTAGATAATGGCAGTTAAAATAACAAACATTAATGATCACAGCGAAATTGCGTGGAAAGTTTTTTGATTTCTTATACAATATTATTTCATTATATTTAAATATTAAAAAATGACTTTTCATTAGGTTTAAAATATGACAGCGTATCCAGTCGCACATGCGTCAACTGTTATACACCGAATGGTTTGCCATACATAGATCGAATCAACCCAACCCTCACAGTTGCAGTTGCAGGAAATGGTAAAGGTGCAAAATTTTCTGACGAGGTTGGAAGGTTAGCTGCAAAATTAAGCATGACCGGAGAATGGGATTCTGAATTGGAGCAAATAAGATTTCGAGCAATTTTTCAATGATAAAATATCCATACATAACTTCAATTTCCTAAATAAGAGCAAATTTTTTTTAATATGAAAGTTGTATTATAATTGTATTTTGAACAACTGTTCAAACATAAATTAAGCGTATAATGTAACTAAATATGCAAAATTAAACATCGATTTTTAATTTTGATATGTTTCATATTTTTTCATTGACATTTGGATAAGTTATAAGGTTACAGTCAAGTAAATCACGCTTTTGTATATTTTTCACACATTATTTTATTATATTTATTAACACTAGATTGCCTGAAGAAGTAATTTTGACTGCTTTTAATTTCAATTAGAAAAACAATGATGACACAATTTCTTAGAATTTTGCACAACATATAATTTTTTTATTGTTAATATTTACTAAAAACTTGTTATATAACTGTAAATAATATAAAAAATATTAAAAATTAATTTTTAACAAATTTCTTCGCACATTAATTATTTTTTTATAGTCCAGGCATTTAGACTGCTTTTGGGCAATATAGGTATATATACTAAGTTTCAGTCTTTCTAGTGTTATTGATGTTATCTGAATTCAAATTTGACAAAGCAAAGGTTTTGTGAATAATTTCAAGATTAAAAGTTATTTACACAATTCTATTTACAGTTATTCTATTAAAAGTTATTTACACAATTAGTTCAATTCTTCTCAAGTTTTATTAATCAAGTCAAGTATTTGCTCCAAAAATTATATATAATAACATTATCATTTTAGGTACAAATAAAATTATTATGAGTACTTTATGTCACACTAGAACTGCAGAATGGGCTATTATCGGTGATCTGAGAAACATCCCTGAGGATGGTCGGAAGGCATGCCACTACAATTTTGATTCTCTGCAGAGGGGATGGCTTCCCCACTTTTTTTTAACCAGACGACCTGCCCTCGATGTCGTACACTTTACGGTAGAACAGTTAAAGCAGATGCGACATCGTGCACTCTCGGTCCCTTTGCAGGCTGATCAAAGCGGTCACCCACACACTCACATACCGCTGCCAATGATACTTAACTACGACGTTTTATTGGGAATCGTGCCCTGGCAATCAGTCCATCGTGGAAGAATTAAAATTCATTTTTTTCATAAAAGAAAGGCATAAAAATGAATCATTTAAAATACTTTATTTTAAATATCTTGTTTTATTAAATAAAAAAAAAACTTTTTTTATAAAAAAAAAAGACTAGGGGAAATCGGGAGAAACATTGAGAAAAAAACATGTTAACATGTTATTAAACTATTAATAAGCTGGTCGTCTCAATTCACTGCTGACTGTTAACGATCAATTCTTAATTATAAAAAAAAAACGTTACTGAGAATGAGTAAGTAGAGAACCTATTTTTCAAAATCACAATAATTAAAGCTTTCAGTAAGAATGACTGCTCCTTACAAGATAAAAATTTTAACTATTAAAAATACCAAAGAGCATTTTTCCTAGTCTTGTCGTTGCCAAAACTACTAATACAGCTAGCGAAATCCTTTAAATATAACTATTTAACATAAGTAAGGGCCGTGATTGCCTATAGTGGTTAGCGAATCGAACTCCGGTCTGGAGGGTCATAGTCTTATTTTAAAATTCTTCCACACTCCGCCTCCCAAAGAAATATTAATCCAGGATTTACTCCATTCAATAAATATTGCAATTTTCTAAGCTTTGCTAAGCTTATATAACCCGACGTAAGCAGTTTTTTTTCCTTCCCTTTTATAACTTTTTAACCAGTTGTTAACCCTTTCACGACTGATCGTGATCACATACCTGATAGCGCGAGCACATAGCATTATATATGAAACGAGCTCTGTAACTCCAGTGGCCCAATTGCACGTGGTTCGGATTTCAATGTGGTAATATCATATTAGTAACTATGCGTACTCTTAATACGCAAATTATGCGTAGCACGTGGGATTGGAGAAGAGCCTTTTTTCTCTTTTCGCCAGTCCTGAAAGATTGAATGATAAGTTTCTCGTTAATAGCAATTTTTCCATTAACATTCCCTTATTAATTATCTTCCATTAATTTTTTATTTGTTTTATACTAGTGGAATATGTCAGACAATTTTTTTTTTTAATATTTTGGAAACATGTAATTAATTTTATGACCTCGAGAAAATGCGGAAAATTAAATATTTTGATTCTTTTTGTGTATTTACTTTCAAGCGTTGACTTTTTATTTTTGTTAATACTTTTAAAATAGAATTATAAATATTAAACTCTTTAAGCAGTTTTTTAAGATAATTAAAACATATAAATTTAGCAACCACTGTTAATATTTAGTTGCCTTTCATTAGAAGTTACAAATTTAAAATGTACTCGTATATTTATTTAATTGAAAACAGATTTTATGTTTGTCGAAATGAAATGCATTAAATGCGCAATCAAATAAATTATTTTAAAGCAGAAAAAAAATATAAAAATATTGTTTTATATATTTAAAAAAAAACTTAAACTGACGCTAATTTTACCACGCAGTTTTACGAAATTACATATACATAGAATTAATGAAAAAAAAAATGCGGCAATTTATCATTCAGAAAATTACTGTAAATAATAATTTTCTAATTTTTCTATTCCTTTTTTAATCCAATTTTTGTAAGAAAATAAAATAAAATAAAGAAACGTTATAAAATAAAATTTACACATCGGGTTAAGTACGTTCGTTACTGTGTAAACTTTCAGCACTAATATCAGAAGAAATAACAATGAAAATAAATTATGTCCTTCCCATACAATGCTCTTAAATTAAATTTAAAATTCATAACGTGTGCTTCTCAACAATCTTTATTTACTAATGTAATGAAAAATTAAATTATTTATCTAAATTTTATTTCAATGTTTAAATTAGTAAGATAAATTAAAATGTTATTTAAGGCATCGGATCAAAAAAAATTCTTTTGTACCTACCAGGTTTCGAACCTGGGACCTTCCGCGTGTTAGGCGGATGTGATAACCACTACACCATAGGTACTTGTCTTGTACAATGTTTCTTTATATTAAATTAACTTAAAAATTTGTATGAGATTAAAAGTTCATTCTTCATCTTTTGTTTTTGATTAAAATTTATTTTAATATTGCAAATAAATGTATGTATAGATACCGAACACCCTGAAATATTACGAGGACTTTCCGTAACTTTCTTAGAATATATAGGAGACTTTCTTGAATTTTTAATACCGTGTGAAAATAAACTCAATTCCTAAAATTACTTCCAGTTATACAGTTTATTACGTTAGTTATTTTATATATTTTTAAGCACTCTTCCTTCGTCATATCGTTTAAATGTGCCATTACTCACAAAACACAATAAATGTTGGAGAAATGCCAAAAGCGATAAATGTATTTCACAATAAGCATTCATTTATTACTCGCATGGTCTTATGTTCGTCTCTTCGTAACGAATTCTACGTTAAATAAAATTCTCCTCATTTATTCAGCAATAATATTATTAAAGGTAAGCTAATTTCAAAGATATATATATATATATATATATAAATGATCCCCTCCGCAGAGTATCGAAATTGTGATGGCATGCCTTCGGAGCATCCTCTGAGATGTTTCCCAGACCGTNTATATATATATATATTTAAAACTTCATGTGAAAGATAATATTTATCAGTTGTAGAATTTAATTAAATTTTTATATTTTCAATTGAAAGCACCTAAAAAAGGCTTTCAATTTTTATGTTTTTTTTTAAATCTATTTTTTTATTTATTATTTTTAATTAATTTTTTCAAAAATCTATTTGTGTTTTAAATTTTAAAGTTTAATCGAAAAGAAATGTTAATATTTTTTTTAAGAACCGTGTTCTTTTTATGTATAAAGACTGCATATAGATCATGATTTCCTTAAAAACCTTTTTCAATTCCTTCAATTAGTTCACGCTCTCCCTATATATATATTTATATATCTTGTTCAAATTTTCAATTGTTAAAAAAATACTTTTTATTCATCCACTCATGTTCAAATATATTTTTTTAAACTTGTGGCGGATGATACTTGAAGTTAATGCAGTTTTCTCAAATATTAATTAATTAATTAATTTTAGTTTCACATGATATTTAGTAGGATATAAATTTAAGAATAAATAACATCTGTGGTGAAGAGTCAGTAATTATGATATTAATATAAATATGTATATCATATTATCTTATGTATAGATGTCATGACGAAAGACCGAAATCGGTGGTTATTGACTTTCACCGGTGAATGTCGAATAACACCAAATACGTAGGTGAAAGATCGAATATTTCATTACATTCTTGTACATTCGGATTCTCACCGGTGTATGTCGACAATCACAGATATGCTTTGGTGAATGTCCGAAATATTTATTACATTCGATTTGATATGAATTTATTCGTGGATATAATTACATTTATTCGATATTTTAACCCTACACTGATGTTTTTTTTTAAGGTTAAGTGCCACTGACCGGTATACATTTGCCCGGTATACCCTACTCTGATGTTTCTTCTAATCTATCGTCAGTAAGTGTTAAAATATATAATAAATATATCAAATAAATATAATAATATTAACGAATAAATTAATATGAAATTGGATATAGCAAATATTTCGGACATTCACCAAAGCGACTATGTGATTGTTGACATTCACCGGTGAGAGTCAGAAATAAGGGTATTTAGCAAATATTTTGGACATACACCAAGCGACTACGTGAATGTTGACATTCACCGGTGAATGTCGAGATTCTCCAGATTTCAGTGTTTCACCGTAACATATACATAAGATAATATGATACATTAATTGTAATTATTGAATAAAAAGTAACTAAAATAAAAATTTTCATTGTTACCCCAAGTAGGAATTGAGTTTAACATTTTTTTTATATATTGCATGTTATTCCTAAAATCAGTGCTCAAATTTTTCGATTAAAATAAAAATCATTTTCGAGAAAAAATAAAAATGCATCAATTACTTTGTTTTCTCATAATTCAAAATCTTAGAATTTCAATAGAATGCCTGCGAAATATGCTAGTATTTTTAAACCAAATCAACACCTTGGGCAAAAAGAAAAAAACACTCGAATATTGACGTATAGCATAAAATTAATCATAAACAAAAAAGCTGAATCCTTTTGTTTTTAAATTATTCTTTTATATTTAAGATCTATTTAAAAAAAGAA